AAGAGCGCACTTGTGTCGGTACAGCGGTGTGGTGTGTACGACACTCATGGGCTAGTTTCAGAGCGTGCGTGTACAGGAGCATGTACAGGAAGATAGGTGTTTTGTTATGATTATTTGCGGCAGCCTGTGGAAGCAGTCCCATTGGACATTTTATGGGTGTGCAAGTTAGTGTTATGTACATATGACGGGATGTCAAGCGGACGGCAGGCTGTTGTTCTTCTTCTGCATGGTTTCCGAGCATGCATACGCGAGCATGCATACGGTGGGACAGAGCGCTTGGTGCCAAGCATGTTAAGCGAACGTTGCGAAAGCTGTGCGACGTGTAACAGTCGAGGAAAGGTTGCGTCACAGATGTCACGGATACCGTTTTTGGTTAGATAACGGCACCACCGACGTGGTAAAGGAGTGCAGCGGGTAACACAAGCATATGTACAGCCTTACAGCCTTTCTATCCCTATCCTCCGGGGTATCAATCCCAATCCAGGCCCAAGGCAATCTCAATCCAACGGTAGCGTCTATCTCAATCCAACGGTACTACACTCTCAATCCAACGGTAACCCGATCTCAATCCACCTCGGTCTCAATCTCAATCCCTCCACAGTCAATCTCAATCCCCCCGTCAGTCTATCTCAATCCCCGGTTGATCTATCCCAATCCTGGCGACCACCCTACCAACTCAATCCAACCGTACTTGCCATCCCTCCTGATCGACTTATGGACGAGACGCGAATGTACGCTCGTTTGCGTATGTTTATGTATTTTACCTGTGAATTGTGCATTTCTTGTGTGAATGTTCTGTCACACGGTTATAAGGTGTTTCATTTGTGTCATTTGTGGACCATACGTCGTGGTCGTACTCGAGGCTTATCTTTTGAGGGCCTCCTGTGATCGACAGTGTGACTTCGGTATTTATAGCCCCCGAAGGGGAACACCCCAAAGTCTCGCCTTCGTCTCTTCTTCGTCTCCCCGAAGGGGAACACACCCCTTTAGTTCTTCCCCTTTGGTGTTCTTCGTCCCCTTTAGGGGAACCAAAGGGGAAACCCTTCGTCTCCCCGAAGGGGAACACCCCTTTCGGGGAACCAAAGGGGAAGAACTCCCCTACGGTGAAAACGAAGGGCATGAAGAAGGGGTTCCCCAAACGGGAAGACTTCCCCCTTCGGTTTCCCTTAAGGGGATGAAGAAGATGAACTAAAGGGGATGAACTAAAGGGGAAGAAGAAGAAGAACTAAAGGAGAACTAAAGGGGAACCCCTTTAGTTCCCCTTTAGGGGAAGAACTTTAGTGCTTTCTTCTTCTTCCCCTTCGTTTTCTTCCCCAAAGGGGAACCCCTTCGTATCCCCGAAGGGGAACACCCCAAAGTCTCGTGCAGTACTGGGATTCAGCGTTATGGTATAGTATACATTTGTGACTGCTGCGTGGCCCGGTTTCCAGAATATTCATCTCAAGCTGTTGAAAGGTTTTTTGCCTGCAGAGGCTCTAGATGAAGGTTCTCTCCTCACGGGGACAACCCTGTGGGAGCTGCTGACAGGCATTATCCGCGGAATTCAGGCAACCCACCGCCATTTCAGCACACAAGAGGTGGCATTCTAGGGGGCCACCCATGTTAAGCATGATGTTGCTTAACATGTATGGGCCCCGCGTCTTCAAGATTGCTTCGGCTAACCTGAATAGACCATCCTTGCGAAAAGACAAGCAAGACTGAGTGCCCGCCGCCTACGTCTGGCTGGACAATCTCGAGGCCAATCATCAAGGGGGTATGTGCAGGGGTAGTGGCCTAACCTAACCTCCGGCAACCACATCTCAACCATGTGTGTGCAAAGCCAGATTGCTGTTCTGAAAAGCACAAGCTTCCATGTGCTGTGCTTAAGATCTTTCCTTTAAAAGGACACAACACGCACAGCCATGCATGTTGCATGATTCTTGTTCTTATCATGCAGATTTTGTCTGCTCCACGACTCCTGTGCACCGTGTCATGCTCATGGTTACGACGCCTGCAAAACCTGGCCCTGCTGGCCAGGTACCACCTCACAGCTATGACCCAAATGGTATGTGAAGATGCAAGTGCTGCCGCATCACGGCTCGATGTGGTTTGTTGTGATGGCAAGTACCTGGTATATGGCCTATGCATGTGGTGTTGTCGGGCTGGGCAATGCTGTCTTGGTGTGTGGTCTTGCCAAGTCCCACACACGTCCTGCAAGAGTACTGTCAACAAGTAGGTTGCGAGCTGGATGAAGGAGACGTCGAGGGTGATGAGGCCGGCGGCGGGCGAAGGCGGCGAGGGTGCCTCGCCAACGCAAGCTGAAAAGGGACGGCGGTGAACGACGAACGAGGCAGGCGATTACTCGTGTGGGAGCTACGACGAGGTCGGGGCGGCTTTTCGTGTTGACAGCGGGGCGAAGGTTGCGGAGGCACAATGAGCTTGGGTTGGCGGTACCTGGCATTTATGTCGTCTTGTGCGCCCGTGCTTTTTAGGGTGGCATCCGATCAATTGACGGCCTTCGGAACGAACGGCGCCAGTTTTAAATGCGTACTACCTTCTAAACTATCATTTTGACGGTGATACTTGTCTGTTGGAGTGACACTGCACTACACCTTACGTATGGCAGATGTGAGGCTGGCATAGCCTTTGCATCAAGTCTTTCCTAACCTTACGTTTAGGATGGCGCGGCACAGATGGATGTTTGTAGGTAGGGTAAGAACTTCTTTCCTGGAAGGGGCTGTATGTTGTGCTGTGGGTTGGCGTGGGAGTGTTGGCGTGGGAGTGTTGGCGTGGGAGTGTTGGCGTGGGAGTGTTGGCGTGGGAGTGTTGGCGTGGGAGTGTTGGCGTGGGAGTGTTGGCGTGGGAGTGTTGGCGTGGGAGTGTTGGCGTGGGAGTGTTGGCGTGGGAGTGGCCTTGGACAGGTGGGCCCCTAGCGGTTACTTGCTGTTGGCAATGTGAGCTTCAACCTGGCTGTGATGATAACTTATGATATTACGGTGATGACACCAATGTTGTTCATAACTCTACGCATATGCTGGACCACTTCAGGGTCTCCGCTGCATTTGTTGTTTGGTTCTGCACGATGTACGGCAGGTGCAACAACGAACAACATTACTGTAACAGAAAAGGCATTGCAGGAAAGGATGTTCAAAAGACAGGCCTGAAGCATCAGGGTTGAGAACGTCCCCAGCAACGGCAAACAGTTTCAAGGCCATCCAGCCAGGACATGAAATTTGGAAGGTTGAGGATGACGGCGGGAGTGGGTCGCGACTGGGGGATGCGGACAGTGAGGTCAAGTCACCCCAGGGAGATGCGTCGATGCAGTCGATGGCCGGTGCCGGTGGATGCTGCGTCCCTCCTACCCGTTAGGGTCCGATCGGCCGCCCCTCCAAAGCTCCTTGATCTCTCTCTGGCCTGCAGCCCCAATCCCCTTCTGGTCATTGTGCATCATTCACAGAGAGGGAGGGCCGATCCGTACGACGTCTGCCTCCCGGGACACGTATCCGGGATACGGGTACTGCTCGCAGCGGAAACCCCCCCGACGTGGCGCATGGGACGACTGGGAGGGAAGATGAAAGGATACTCCTTACACCAGGTGCTGGGTCTTTCAGGCTAGAGCCGGGCGTCGTGTCAAACCCCCCCCACACACACACTATATTGCACCTCCCACAGAATTGGGCAACTAGTCCAGGCATGCAGGGAATGCAGCAAATATATGCAGTAGCTCAACACTTGTAGCCGTACAACTGAATGCGTCGCCCCCTATGACCATCTGCAACTCATCTGCGCCCTTATTCATGCCCAATCTAAATCATCCTCTGTGCCGTACAACCAACCCTGTCACGCCTCTGTGCTACGGCAAAGCCATCAAACTCAACACACAAGACCTCGGACCAAGCCTAGCCCCTGCCCTCTGCCCTGCCAGTGTCCCTTTGCGTTTTACTGGGCAAAGGTATTTCTACGGGCAGCCTCAGCGAACTGTTGGTCTGTTACCTATGTTTTGTGGTTTCACCCAGGCAACCGCCATTTCCGTTACCCAGCGCAACGAGACCTCGTTCGGGGCGTCCGGGACCGCTGCGGGCCGGTGGCTGCCTACTCGCCGCTCCACCCCGACAGCCGCACCATGCATCACGAACCCATGACGGCTCCAGGGCGAGTCACCACTCGCTCTGCTGACAGAACTGTCTCCCGAACCCACAACCTGTCACCGGGACGCCGTTGCGGCAGCGGCGCGTCGCCCTCGGCGCCGCTGGTGGCGGAGGCGGCAGCGGCTGCACCCCCGGCGCGGTGGCCCTCAGCGACCGGCCCTGAAGCCCCGGCGGCGGCGGGGACGGCGGCGGGGGCTGAGGGGGTAACACTGAGGAACGGTGATGCTGTTGGCGGCGGGGGCGGCGGTGCCGGCAGCACATTATCGGCCGGACTAATGACCTGAACGATAAGCATGTCGACGCTTTCGAAGCTCAGTTGGGCCTCCTGTCTTGGAGATTTCGGCCAGGCGCCAGGGCCCGGAGCCACCGTGTCATTGGCACCCCTGCCGGTCGCCGCTCCCGCTGTATGTCCCTTGCGGCTCTCTACGGCGCTGCGGAGCGCTGTCGCTGCCCGTATTGCGGCGTCGTACGCTGCTTGGCCGGCGGCAACGACAGCGCCGCCAGCGGCCGCTGCCGCCGCATCCACTGTACGATTCACTGACTTACCCGCCTGCCGTACTCCCTCGAAAGCGCCACGGGTCACCCGGCCGACGCCCTCCGCCGCGGAGCCCGCGGCGCTCCTGAACGCATGTCCAACGTCCTCCACCAATTCAGTGGCCTTCTCGCCCGCGGCACATGCGGCCGCGGCGGTCGACTTGGCCGCGGCCATGGCCGCGTCCTCGACCACTGTCCCCGCGTGTAGGGTCGCCTCCCTGGCCCGCGTGCCGGCCTCGCCGACTGCCTCGCGAACGACACGTCCGGCACCGGCGGCCTTGTGGCCTACCCTCGCACCGGCCCGCCGCCCAGCATGTACGGCCGCTGACGTGGCACCCACCACCGTGTCCGCCGCATCCACCGCGGCATACTCTGCCACCTTCGCGGCGCCCTCAACAGCCCCGTGCAACCCCTTCACCGCCGACCTCGCAGCAACATCTGCGGCGCTACGTACGGCATCGCTGGCGGCGTGGCCGGCATCGCCAACCGCCTGCGCTGTACGGTGTGCTGCGAGCGCGATGACGCCCACTGCAGTCTCTGCCGCGTGCATGGTCACGTTGGCCGCTTCACGGGCTGCACCGGCGGCCGCCCGCCCAGCGGTCCCCACGCCAATCGCTGTCTTGCGGACAGCATCTCCGGCGGCCTCACGGACTACCCCACCGATGTGCTCCACCTCACGACGACCAGCTTCCACTGTACGGCCCACAGCCGATTGAACGCCTCGCGCCGCCGCAGCCGCCGATGCCGCCGATGCCTCGGCAACGCAGCGGGCGCGATCCGCAGCCGCTAACAGGGCACACCCAGCCATACGCTCCGCGGCGACGGCGGCGTCGGAGGCTCGATGCGCTGCCATCGCTACGGCATCACGAGTGGCAGCTGCGGCCTCCGCTGCTCGGTGCGCCGCTGCTGCCGCCGTTTCCCGGGCGGCGGCTGCGGCTCCCTCCACCGTCACCTCCACGGCCTCCGCTGCTCCTTTGGCGCATGTCCGGATATCCTGCCCGACCTCGCCCGCCGCTGCCGCCCAACATGCGGCAGTGTCCACGGCAGCATGCAGTACACACCCCGCCACATCACGAGCATTTTCTGCAGTACATGCCACCGCCGCGCCGACCGCTTCAATCGCCCCTTTCGGCACCTGTGCAGGGCCAACGGTGGCCACAGCGCCTCCATCGCCGCCCGCTACCGGTGCCTCCACATTCAGATCACTCTCAGCCCCAGATAAGGGACTGCACGCACCGTGCCCCGCCGCCGCTTGGCCGCCTCGGCCGCCCAGGTCGGCGGCCAGGTCATCGGGGGGTGTGCCAGGTGCCGACGCTGGTCCTGGTCCTCGAACGCGCGCCGCTGCCGCCAGAGCCTCAAGCAACGATCCCGCCGCAGCGGCGCCGCGCCGCTCAGCCGCCGCCACCGACCTCCCGGTCCTCGTCAGCAAGGACCCCGGGTCCCCACTCACGGCGGCGGCGGCACATGACTCCTCCTGCGCAAGGCCTCCGGTGACGTCGCCGCCGTCAGCACCCGCCGGCGGCGGCAATGGCGGCAGCACCACTCGCCGTGGCCACATCAGGCGGGCAACCTGGGTCAGGCGGCTCCACACACCGCGACCGGTGCGCCGCGCCGCGGTCAGGACCCTCTGCACAGTTCTGCGCCACCCGGCGGCCGCCAGTGCTGCCGCTTCCTGTACAATGCCAGCGGCGTGTTGTACCGCCACTGCGGCGGCGGCCGCCGTATCGGCAGCTTGCTCACCGGCGGCAGCAGCGTGGTCAGCCAGCGCCGCAGCGGCGCCCGAGGCAGCGCCGGCGCCAGCTGCCGCCGTATCAACAACCCGCTCTGCGCCGTGCATCAGCGCCCCCGCCGCTGCCTTTCCAGTGTCTGCCACCGCCTCGCGAGACTGCTCCAGGGAACCCAACGTCGCGGCCGCACCCTCTCGGGCGACATCCGATACGACCCCGGCGGCGCCCTTGGCGGCATCCGCAGCCCCGAGCACGCCCTGCTGCACACCAGCGGCCACGCGGGCTAGCGTGTCGGATGTCTTCCGTACAGAGGCCTTCCCAGAGTCCGCCGCCGCCTCCAGCACCTCCTCGGTGCCGAGACGAATGGCCTCCGTCGCAACCTTGGCCGCCGCTTTGGCATGCCGTACGGCACCGCTTGCGGCGTGCCCAACATCCGCGAGCATTTGTCCAGCTGTGGCAGCTGTTTCCTCAGCTTCCTGCGCAGCCGCTTTGACGACTCCAGCGGCGCCGCCGACGGCGGCGGCAGCGGCGTCCGCGGCACCCGCGCGCGCCGCCCGGATCATGTCCGCCGCGCCCACAGCCGCGCTGCCTAAAGCGGTGGCGCCGTGTGTAAGCGTCTGCCGTGCGGCTGCCCCTCCATGCTCCAGACCACGAACACCAGACGCGACGCCGTCCCTCGCAGCGGCGGCGACCCTCTGTGCGCCCGCTGACCCCGCCGCCGCCGCCGCCTTCTTGGCCGCATGCCCCACCTCATGCAGCCTGGCACCCGTCGCATCAATGCAACCCTGCGCCGCCTGCGGCTCACGCCGCGCCGCAGCCGCAGCTGCCGCTGCCGTTGCCGTTTCCACTGGCCCGCCAACCGCTAACTCCTCCGACCCACGGGTCCGCGGCTCTAGGAAATTCGGCACGCCCAGGTGTCGTGCTGTCGCCTCCAGATACCTCGCCACCTCCGCTTGCGCCGCCTCAGCCGCCAGGATGCCCTCGAGCACCGGGGCCCTTGACCCCTGGGTCACATCCTCACCTGATACTCCTGCCCTCTCACCTGATGTTGCAACTTCCGGAGCCGCGGCCTGATTCGGTCCTCCCATGCCGCCTCGGCTGCTTGCCTGTTTAGCGGCGTCTCCCCCCAGGCCGTTGGCGGGCGTCAGGAGGGGCCGCACCGTGAGGCTTCCGGGAGCCTGGCCGGGATGGGCTTTTGCGGTGAAGGGTGCTGCTGGTGCTGCTGGTGCTGCTGGTGCTGCTGGTCTTGTTGCGGTGGCGGTGGTGGTGGTGATGGTGGTGATGTCGTGTGAGGGGAAGACGTCACCCCCCTCCGGGATACGGGCTCCAGCAGCTGGTGCGGGTCGCTGCGGTTGGTGGGGAGGAGCGTCCGGGGAGAGCAGCAGCCGCTGCGCCTCATTGAAGCTGTCGATAACGTGTACGGAATTGTGTATGGAAAGGTTGTACGGGCAAAGCGACAAGGGTGGGGAGCGGGATAGAGATATAAGACTGGATCGGCCATGGTCATGCCGCACTTTAATGCTTGGGCTTGCAAGCTATGGATGGATGCTTATGGGGGGGGGGGAGTGGCACCTTCAATTTGAAGTTTAGCCCAGCCAGTGTCGAATTACGAATCTTAAATCTGTTTTTCCAAGGATAATTCTTACATTTATTAAAACTAATAGTATAGAATTTGTTCTGAAACATTAATGCTAAAGCCGAACTGAAAGTTTTGAATCTGTTTTGAAAACAATGTCGTGTTGTCCTTTACAGCTACACCTCCCTCCAGTGCTGGACAACATCAGCAGCGTCAGGCGGGAAGTAAAGCAACGGAGAGTCTCCTCGCCAGCCCCTCGCCAGCCCCTCGCCAGCCCCTCGCCAGCCCCTCGCCAGCCCCTTCATTATTCACATGAATCCTGAACATTGCTTGAGCACTGGAGCCAGGGATAGCGGCTAGTCCAGGACATCACCCACACACCGCCTCTCTCCCGCGCTGGCACCCTCCCCCAACATTACATGTACTTTCCCTTCTTCGGCGTGCAGAGCTCGCCCTCCTAATAAACCGCAATTTCCTACTGGACCTCACCCTACTTCTACCTACTACCCTCCACCACGACAACACAACAGCCCGCCTGTGCCATCGCACAGGCATGGCACATGCCCCCATCACCTCGCATTCCCCCCATCACCTCGCTAGCTCTCCCCCCACCGGCCGGACGCGCCAGCAGAGCGCAAGAAATTAACACCCCACTCCAAACCTTCCCTGGATTTTAATAAAACTACGGCCGGTATGATGCGTACCATGCGCGTTCATCTGAAAGAGCACCAGTGGTATAGTGGTAGCATAGGTCCTTGCCACGGACCAGACCCGAATTCGATTCTCGGCTGGTGCAACGCGGTCATCCTTGCCATAGAACAGTCTGCTGTCAGAGGTTATTGCCTGACTACTGCTCTAATCTGCCTACCATCTCCTCGGGTGATTGAGGTGTGTTAAAATGGGAGGTGGGCCCCCATCTTATGGACGATGTAGGACGTGATGACATCAACTCGCGAGCTGACCAGGAACTAAAATGAGGCGCCGTTGATCCGCTAGATTTGGTTAGATGCTGGTGGTGAGTTGCTGAACCCAACGAGTACATTCTGAAGTCGGATCGGGTGAATAGATTAGGGTGCCCCTCTCGCAGGGGAGAGCAGGGAACTGCCTCGGGAAAGGGGGCCGCTGATGAAGCTATACCACCCTGTAACAACATACATACATACATACATATAAGGGAACCCGGGTTCCCTACACCCAGATACCCCCACGCTCCCTTCACTCACTCCGCCGCTGACTGCTCCAGCCGCCGCACCGCCAAGCTCCACATGCGTCGTAGTTTCTCGTCCAGCTCCGCTGCAGGGTCACACATATTGCCGTCAGCGCCGTCAGCGCCGCCGCTGTTCGCGGTCCCGTTGGCGGCAGCGCCGGAACCGCCGCCGCCGCTCGGCAGCCGCTCCTGGAGCGCCTTCAGCGGCGCCCAGAGGACGTTGACGATGCCGCTGACTCCACCCCAGGCGCGCCCGCTGTGAAGCCCAGGAGCGCCCGGAGTTCCGGAGGAGAGCGGCTCTTCATTTGCACCGGCAGCCGGTGTTGCCGCCACGTCGGCAGCCGAGGGGGCCCCGCCAACGGGAGATGTGGGTAGCCGTGGCGGCGGGGCCGGCGGTGCAGCCGGCCTGCGCTTGGCTGCATGTACGACCCTGTCTCGTGCTGCCGCAAAAGCAGATGCCATGCCAGCTAAGGCCTTCCGTACTGCAGCTTCATTCCAAGGGAGTGTTGGTGGATAGGGGCTGTACGGCGGGCTTCCTTTGCAGATGCCGTCATTGCAGTACGGGTAATCAAACCAGCTGCCGTACAGGTTGCAGTCTTCCACTTGATCCGCACTTAGAACTTCGCCGCAGGCGCCGCCGTGCGCCTGCCGCCGTCGACTGCTGCCTACAGGCAACTCGGCGGCGGCGGCGGGCCTGCCAAACCAGCTGAAGCCGCCTCCGCCACCACTGCCGCCAGCAGCCCTCTTCGCCTCCTTCGTTTCTCCCTTCAACGTCGCCGCCGCGCCTGGTGCGCCTTCGCCGCTGTGGGACCGGATACCAAGCGCGCTGGCAAAGTCCGCAACACGCGCCCAAGCGGCTTGGACTACGGGGTGGCCTGCAAGCTCCTGTGGCCATGTTGTTGGGCCGGCAGCTGTGCGGCCTGACGGCAGTGGCGGCTCCACCGCCTCCGCCTCCGCCGCTGCCGTCCGCTGCTGCGGCGTCTGCACGTGGCCGTTGCCCGCCCCGCTGCGCGGTCCCAGGTTTAGCCCTGCCAGGAAGCTTTCCGCATGGATTAGGGCCTCCCGGATTTGCACGAGCGCTTCCACGACCTCCTGACGGGCCCGTTCCATATCCAGCTCGTACTGCAGCTGCTGCAGCTGTTCCTTTAGCGGCTTCGCAGCGTGGGATAAAGCACTGGTGCCGTCCGTGCCGGCTGTGTCGGTGTCCGCGACGTGCTCGACGGCGGCGTGGAAGGCCTCCACGAGCTCTCCTGCCTCGTGGATGTGCGCAATGATCGTCTTGCGCCTAAGCATGGGGCGAGAGAGCATGGAATGGGATGACGTCGGGAAGTGGGGCTGTCACCGCCAGCGCCATTCCTCTACTCCCCGGGCACCTCACTACTAAGGACTTCGTTAGACACCCAACCGCCCCACAACAGCCCTCACCTGGCACTCGGGTCGGCAAGCGTGTCCCTCAACAGCTCCAAGGCGGCTGCACGGGCCACTTCCTCCCGACCGCCAACCCTCCCTGGCGCCACCTCCGTGAACGCCGCATGGTTCCGGAGCCGAAGCGCCCAGCTCCGCGCTTCCGCCAGCGCCTTCCGGCTCACGACCGCCAGCGTACCGTACGGCAGGCTCCGTAGCACCTGCCGCGCCTCCTCGGGGTTGGCCGACAGGTCCGCCAGCGTGGGCAGGTGCGGGCGCGGCGGCAGCCCCGTAGTGGGTACCCTCAGCTCCGCCAGGCAGCCGGGCTCCTCTTTCCTCTCACCTCCCACATGACTTGCCGCCCCAGCGCCGGCTGGAGACTCATCAACGTGGGTTGGGAGTTTCTGGGATGTCATGGCAGCGTAATGGTGGTCGGGGTGTCGAGGCGGGGCCGGCGCCTTGCGGCGCCAGGACAGCGCATCCGCGAGGGAGAGGACCCGGGCGCCCGCAGCAGCAGCAGCTGTGCCGGCGGCCGCGGCGGCGGTGAACTGCGGTGGCGGCGGTGAGGCGGCGTCTAGGAGCAGTAGCAGCGCGTCATGGACGTGTTCAGCGGCGCCGGCGACGGTGTCGTGGGCGGTTGTAGCAGCTCCGTGCTCGCTGTAGCCCAGCGCTGCGCCCACCAGCTCCTGCATGATCCAGACCAGAACACACGGACTCGCAGCGAGAAGGGGGGAGCCATTTTGAGCGAGAGGACGTGCTCGCGGGAAGCCACTTGGTGCTTGAAAAGCCACTCGCCGGTTGCCCAAATCGAACAATCCTTAATGGACCGCCAAGGTCACCAAAAGACAGGAGGATAAGCAAAGCTTGACTCCGCAACCGCAATTCCCTCCTCTCCTGACACCCTCTCCGCTTGTCGGCAAGTGACCTGGCATACCTGAGCCGCTTCCAGTTCTTCCCCCGCGCGATCCACAACGGCCTCCAACCACATGGCAATCGTAGCCGTTACTGCGCTAGACACCCGCCGCACCCCCGCGCCATGGTCCTCTGATCTGCCCTTCACGTCCTCGTCCTCATCCGCATCCACTACTTCACCCGCCTCCAGCGCCAGGGTCAGGTCTTCCAAATGACGGCGGCCGGCGGCAAGCGCATCCGCCAGGGGCTGTAGCTGCTCTGAGCTGCTGAGGTCCGCTTGCGGCAGCGCCAGGCGCGCCAGGGCGCTGTGTGAAGCACCGAGGTGTCGAGCAGCGGGACAGGGGAACGGGAGGGCCGGTGGGGGAGCGTCACTATAAGGTCGACGTGCCTAGAAGGAGGAGGGAGAAGGAAGAGGAGGACGAGAGCCGGGTCATCCACGCTTGCAGATATGGCCGGTAACCCCCAGCCGCACTGGCTTTGCGAGGTTGCGGGTGCAAACCCGTAGGATAGCAGCGAGCCCCAGTGTCTTAGGGCCACGGCTCAACGCACGCCTTGAATGTCGAGAGTCGCTCCTTGCGCTTCCGCATCACCCAAGAAGGCGCTGCCGGTACCTCGTACCTGACAATGCCACGCAGCTCCCCCACGAGGGCACGCACGCGCTTGTCCACTCCCGCTGCCGCAGCCAGACCGGCGCGTAGTGCTTCGGGGCAGGCCCTCAGCCGCTCCTCTTCTGTGTCTGAAGGACGCTGCTCATGCTGGTGCGGGTGCTGCTTCTCGGAAGGCTGTCCGCTTGCACGGTGCTGTGCGTGTACATTCTCGTGGTAATGTTGATGGTGATGGTGCTGATGCTGGGTGTCACGTTGCCCGACACCAGCCTCCGCCTCCCGCTCCTCGCGCTCCTCCCGCAGCAGCTCCTGCACCTCCTTGCGAACCCAGGGGTTCTCCTCCCAGGCCGCCGGGTCACGCATGTCAGCGCTCAAGCTCCGCACCGTGCGAGCAGCCGCGTCCTCGGCGTTGTGCGCCGCGATGCGCAGCGCAGCCAGTCGCCGCACCAGCGCCGCCGCCGCGCCATGCAACAGATCCAAGGCCGGCCCAAACGGCGCCGATGGCAGGTAGCGGCTGTGGTGCAGGTCCGAGGGACATAAGTCCATGGACGAGCCCTCGGCGACTCCCTGTGGACCGCGTCCGCTGCCAGAGTGGCCAGGACCCATGCCTTGGGCGACAGGATCGCTGCCGTGATCGTCTGCCGCATTGCTTGCATCAGGTGTACCCGAGTCCGGGACGACGTAGGGCGCGATCACGTCCCAGGAGCGTGGATCTAGAAGTCCAGCGGCGGTGGCACCCAGGTCATGTAGGGCGCTGTGCTGGTGCTCGTGGTGCGCCTGATGGTGGTGGTCATGGTGATGACCATCTGCTTGCCGATGATTTGTGCCATGGCTGGCGCTAACGCTGAAAGGCGCGCTTGCGGCATCGGGAGACGTGGCGTGTGACAAGGCGTTCGCGCTGGTTGTGTGAAAACCTGCTGAGATGCTTAACAAAAGTAGTTGCACGCTCAAGGACGAAGCCACGGCTGAAAACGTGTTGGGACATTGATTTGGCCTCGACGCCCAGCGCTTCTCGGGCATTCTTCCTGCTTAACTGAATGCTTTTTCTTGGCTATTAAGTGAACATTTTAATCTCTCTTTGCCGTGAGATAAAGACAGGACGTGAAGGAAAATAACCGTGACTTGTGGAGGTATTCATCGTTATAAGCGTTGTGTTATAGCTGTGCAGTCCGATGTCATCTATATCGTCCAGACCCGTGGGTCGCTACGCACCGAATCACTTGCCTCCCCCTCGGCCGCCTTGCGAAATTCATTCCCTTCACATCAAACGTGATGGTTGCTGATGTAGTACTATACAGATGGAAAATGGATAACTGGCTATGGAAAAAAGGTAATCGCTTCGGCCGCATCTGGATTCGTGATCCTGCCCTGCCGCGAAGAGAACACTTATGTCCTTACAGGAGGAAACGTCCACGAAAGTGCTCACGTACACGGGGACCTTCAAGCAGGGCTAGCCCGCAGCGCCGAGATCTCTTATCACACGGCAATCCACGCCTCCAAAACTCCTGACACCCGCTAGTCGCAATATGTTTCATGCACAACTAGGAACAAATGGGTTTTACTCGCTCTAAGTCGCCCACTGCACATAAGAGACACCGCGAACACACCGAGACCAACATGGGTCGAAAAGGCAAGGTCCTGACGTTAAATCAGGATCGCACAGAGCAGCAGCAATGACTATGCCCTCCCCCTTGCGCACCTTACACCTGCACGTCCCCTTGCCTTCCTGCACATATCCACATTGCATTCCTCGCGCTTTAAAAGCTGTTCCCGCTTCTATTATATACCACTCCCGCGCCCTGTCCGCGAAAATGGTCTTCAGCTGCTGGCCAGCCAACCGCCAACCCCACCCCGCGACTGACGGGACTCCGACATCAAATGGTTGCATGTATCATTCTGCACAATGCTTAGCTGCATCGAGACCGTGCCCACCCGGCACCGCTCTCATCTAGCCACCCACCAGCCCGCTGGCCCCCATGCACACTACTCCCCAACTTATCCTTCCGACTTGAGCACGTCCTTGATAGCCAGTACGTCCGCATGGTCAGGGCCCAGTGCCGCTTCCTGAATCACCAGCGCCCGCTCAAGCAGGGGACGACCGACGTCGTCGCGGCCCTAAAGCATGTGGGAGGGGGGCCCAGAAGGACACAAGACGTCACTTGGCGGTGTCAGGACGGTGGTAGCCGTTGCGTTCAAGATTGCAGCAATACATCCACACGCGGAAGATTAGTGGAGAGCCGAGGGTGAGGCAAGTTTAGGGACGGCTCTGACACGCCCAATACGCCTGGCAGCACTTTAGAAGAGGCGTCGCAGCGCGATCGGATGCTGTTCTGGCACAATGGGTAAGGCCCTTTGGGTTATGCCCTCTGGAAGTCAGGAGAGAAGCATGCTTCTCGCGCATTGGCTGGGGCCCTGCCAAGCGCAACCCCACGCCTCTCCTGCGCTCAGTGGAACCGACTCTTGAGATTACCTGTCTCCAACCAGATCGGCCTTGCTCGCCTGCACACGGATGCAGGTGGAGCTGCCCTCCAGCCCAGCTCAGTGCCACCAAGCCCGCCTGGTTATCCCCCAACCCTTGCCCCAAGTCACACCTGTTCCAAGTGCAGCACCGCCAGGTCGGTGAGCGTATGTGCCACCTCGGGGTGATCCTCGCCGTAGTGACGCTCGTAGATATCCAGTGCACGCTCATAAAGCGGCAGGGCCAGGTCACTAAGCTCCTTCGAGTTATAGAAAATGGCCAGGTTGGAACATGCCTCCGCGGTCTTGGGGTGGTTGGGGCCGAACTCCGCCTCCGCCTTCTGCAACTCCTGCTCATACACGGCGGCCTCTGTGACGGGAAAACAGGGACCGAGATGTACAGGAGTTCAGGTGCTGATGCCTCCTTGTTGGTGTTGTATGGTCTCGATGACGGACGAGGGTGTATGCAGCGCTAGAGTGATCAGAGGCAGCAAGTACCTCCTGAAAGGGAGGGGCCAGTGTGCGCCTGGTGCCAGTCAGAGACATCGGTGGCACCGGCAATTACACAATGATCCAGCTACAGGGGAAACCACGTGCCGCCAAAGGGTGTCCTACGATAGAAACAAACGGCAACGCCAGAGTCGGAGCTGGACTGAGGTATAAAACACGTTTCCGTAGGTTACCTGGCACACCGGATGATGAAGGCGGGGGTGGCGGAGGCGGGGGCGGTTGAGGAGGCGGTTGCGGAGGCGCCTTCGGAGTCGGCGCTGCTGTACCCCTGCCACCTGGCCCACCCGCCTCGCTCTTTCCGCTGACAGGACGCTTGTTCGGCGGCAGCGCCGCGGCGCGCGGCGGGGGGGCCCGTGGTGCTGCGACTGGTGGTGGCGGCGGCGGCGCGGCTGCCGGCGCGTCGCCCCCGCCGAGGACGGCATCCACCTGCTCTTTAATCTTCGCGTTGATGTCTCTGGGCATGCATTTCCTGTGACACGCAAGCCAAGTCTTACACGGCCTGACAACGTGTCCAGTGCGCCACGTCTACCTCCTATCCAACACGCCATGTTATACATCATGTTTAGTATGTCACCACTGATTTTTGTGGACGGTGTGGTTCCGTTTGACGCGGCGCCCGTGGACCGGCAGGTGCATAAAGGCTGCACGCGACCGTTAGGACGCCTTGCCTCCTTGCCCGGGGCCCCCAGCGACGCGCCCTTACCGTATGGCGGGCCCCACCAGGTCGAACACCTCCTTCGTGACGCGCACCCCCTCACTCCGCACGTCGGCGTTTGGCGAATTGTAGGCCTTGCCTACGAAGTCCATCAGCTCGCCCAACTCGAATCCATCACCGGATCGGGAGATGCCCACGAGCGGAACAAGATCCTGCAGTGGATAGCCGCACGGCACGAATAGTTGCATCACATGCGCGCGTACCTACGGGTTTGGAACCGAGAATGGCGTTAAAAAGCGACTGCGTTCTTAGAACTGATCATAAGGGCATTCCCTTCCTAGGCAAGCCTGGGTCTATAGACGCCGACGGGTTGCACACTAGAAGGCTGTGAGAACCATAGGGCACACTCATACGAATGGAAGTCAACGCGGCGGAGTGCAACCCCACATGACCAACGGGGACCAGACGCACTTGAGTGACGTGCCAGCCCCGATATCTCCTGTCTTAGCTGTGAGGACCCCAGGGTGGATAGGCACAGGTTCGACCTGTTGATAAATCCCATTAGCAGTTTTCCGATGCACAAGCCCACCATGCGTCTACTCGACAAAGCAAGGCAGTTTCTCATGCTCGTCAACCATGGGGCCCCATACCCTAAGCAGCTGCAAGATGCCAAGTACAGGTCGCCATGCGCTCTGGTTCTTGACGGGCTTGACAAAGATGCCAGTATGGGAGGCCAGCTGCGCCTCCTTGATGCTTGCAAGCAGCATAATGCTTTCCTTGCTGGCGTCTCTGCAGAGCACTCGCATTGGAGGGCATTGGCGTCCGGACGTCGAAGTCGGAAGCATGCGATGCAACATAAGGGTTAAGGTGGGTTGCAGGCACAGGGTGCGCTCAAAGACAAGTCAAGAGGCCCTGTGCGACCTGACGCCCATGGCTTGGGAGTCACTACCTCATTAGAGCATGAATTCCGCGCCGCAACTGCCCAGCCTACCCAGGACCGGGGCCAATGCACCGCAACAAACCCCTCACCTGAGCCGCGCGTTATTATCCCCCAGCTTGTCAATGAGCTGAGGCAGTACCGCTTCCGCCATGGCCTCCACCTCGCGTCCGCCGCTGGCAGCGGCCAGCCCACTGTCCACAAGCGCGGGCAGCAGCGAAAGGCAAGACAGGTAAACGTTGGCTACCTTGTCTCTCATGCCCTTTGTCACCAGGCGCACTAGCGTCCGGAAGGCGTCGCGCTTTCCCTCAAAGCCGCCGCTTGACACCTGGACCGGTGGCGCCAGCAGCAATGGCGACGACAGCTTCAGTGAGCCCAGGAGATACCGCCATACAGGTGCCCGCTATCGTAGCCATAATCACACAGCGGCGGTAGGGACCCCTCGCCAACCTATTTACCAACCATACAACCGGGCATGTCAGTATATGCACCGCGAGGCAAGCTGTCGCACATGGGCACCCGCTAGCCGTGTGCGTGTGCGATGAGAAGGTCAACGAACGGAAACCATCCCAACTGTGCCATCCCGTGTGTTGCGCACCTCCTTCACCAGCCAAACAACAGCCGCATCACGCAGTTGCCAGTTCTTGGAGAAGAAAGCTCTTGCAACATACTCGCCAGCAAGATCCTCCAACGCCTCCGCTTCCTTGGCCACAGCGCCTGGTTAAGAGGAGCGGCATAAACTGTCTAACAGCAGGGTAACATGCACACCTAACATGCAACTATATCCCAACTGTAGCATTGAGCACCACGCGATGATTGGGAGATCAGCACGCAACTACTTCCGGCAAATCGTCCTAATTCGGCGCACCTGCGACTGGCTCCGGCGCTGGGAGGTCCTCTGGCCAACCTGGAGGCGCCGGCAAACTAGTGTCTATCGGTTGATGCAAAGCCTGCCGCTGCATGGCTGCCGCGACCATTTGGTCCTCTGTGGGAGTGTAGCGCCCGCGGCCCATTGCAGGTCGCTCGTCATATTGCTGGTGGCGGTTGTTCATAGCAGAGACGGAGCTCTGGTGCGTCAGCGGGCCAGGGGCGTACTCGTCCTCTACCTCGACGACTGGGGTGGGGGTTGGGCAACAGGGGATCAGGATTGGGGAGCTACCACATTACGCATAAACCTTAGCAAATCAACCGGATGTCGAGCACTGAGCACGAAACTGAGAAAGCACTGGCGACCAGCTAGCGTGCAAGGGTGCGCCAAAAGGTACAGGATGGGAAGTTACAAGGCGATTTCTTCGTAGCCCATAGGTTGCACATTTCCCTCCCCTTTCCAACCGACTCACTTGTCGGTCCCCGATTCCCGTCCGAGTCCGCGTTCGACGCGTCGTGCGCCGATGTGGGACGTCGCGCCACTCCTGAGCTAGGCCGCCCCACTGGCTGCTCATCAAACGGAAGCTGCAGGGCGGGGACGCCGTTCGCGCCGCCGCTTGGGCTTATCCCAACAGCTGATGCCTTGTGGCCCAAAACTCGGTTAAATATTTCGTCCGGGTTCTTGCCGGCACCGGCAGCAGCTCCGGTCGCCATGGCCGCGCCCTCGCCCGCCGCCCGCAGCTTATCGATATCGGCTTTGATGGCTTTGGCTGTGTCGTAGTCCTCCTTCTCTACAGCGGCTCGCTTGCGTGCCTCGAGCTGTGCAACCTTCTGGCCAACCACCTTCAACCGCTCGATGCTGTTCTGTGCGGGCTCGGCAGATTAGTGCAGCATTGGGAAGGCGGCATGAAAGCGAACGCTGTTGCTAGTCAACGGAACCCTTGGTAGCCAACGCACTAAGGCGAGCGGTGCCAAATTGCATTCACTCCGGACCCCCTCGCCGTCCAGCACGGTAAAAGTAGCAATCCTGCTAGTTTTCAATAATTGTCATCGCACAACACCACTGACGCTCCTCGCGTAAGCTCGTGATTCAAGGACATTACCAGGGAAACCCGCTTTCAGGACGCCACCACCCCTTCTCCCCGAGGCGCATTCCTTCACTGTTCTTTAGCACAGAATCCCCTCCTTGGCCACCAGATACTTCAGACCCGCTTACACCGCGTGCAGCCCCGCTGCCGCGCGCCAGGTTCTTGCATGTGTCCCGAAACGCCTTGCACTCCAAGCAAACCAGTCTCAGGCAGGCTCACCTTGAGCGCTTTAGCCGTATCGTAATCCTCGCGCGCCACCGCCTCATCCTTTTGCCGAGCGAGCTCGCGAATCTTAATTGCTGTGACGGTGTCCACGTGTAAGTCCAGGTTCACATCAGCCATGTCCGCCGCCGCAGCATTGTAGTACGGCTGTGCTGTGGGCACCGGCGGGTGCAGCTGCAGGAAGCCCGCCGGCGCATCTGGGGGAGGAGACGCCTTCTCGCCGATGAGGTTCAGTGCTATGATGCCAACCTGTCGGTATGCAGGCAAGCCAACACTTGCATGGAAGACTCTGGGGCAGGGCGTTTGGCACATGCATAGGACCTTGCCTTCGCTTAACTGAGAATTGCGCTTCGTTCCAGTTCCAGTCCTTGTGAGGAGTGCATGTTATTGAGCTGACCTAGGACCTCTTTTTGGCATATAGCAAGGCGGCGTTACCGTGTCACGCACAGACGTTTCCAGTAAAACCCATATCAAAGGAGGCAACAGCCTGCCACACCCTAGCAGTGTCGATGCGGATGGGACTGCCCAGGCATCCCACCTGATTGTAAATGTTCAACTTGTTGACATGACATCGGTGGATGAGTAAACGGACGAGAAAGGCCTGGACATTGACGTGGACGCTTTTCAGCTCTCGTGCCTGATGGTTGCTGCGCTCGTTGCTGTCAAACGAGAGGTAGCCCAGCCGCTTGAAGACGCAGTTATTGGGGTCCGTGTCCAGTACGTTGGGTGGAGCACCAACGAATACTTCCACCCGCGTGGCAATCTGCCATACCAGTTTTGAGGGTCCGGGACAATTAGCTTGCTGCGCCGGGGCACAGCCGGACGCCTCCAGCGGCTATAAGCATGCGCATTCGGGACGCCGGGGATTCCCAGGGTTTGCACCCGCCCACCTTGTATTCGTGCGAAAGTATCTGGATTTGCTGCACCTTGCACGTCTGCTCCAGCCTGAGCACAATCTCTTGCGGATACTTGCAGAACCTGCGCCAATTGCACATCGTTATTGGGGCGTGTAACAGCGCAGGAGCGCCTGTTTCCCGCGGCCCTCCTCCAACGCGCACCTGGGTGATTGCCATCCCCGAGTCTGAGGACTATGAAATAAAAGCTCACGGACTGGGTAATCCGTATCCTGTGTGGCGTCCCAGAGCACACAGCTTGCTAGAGCGTCGGGGGGCATGGCATTGTTGCCCTTGCGCTGGCATACTAGCTTACCTCTCCCGAGAACGCGTGCACAGTGAACCGCAGTTTTTGCGGTCCGCCGGACGCCTTCATTGTCTATGCCGTGACATAAAGTCCCGCACACAGCAGGTAGAGTAAGTTGACCAAGGTATCTTAAAACTCACTATTGTGTGCGGAAATAATTCGGCTGAAATCTGCAAGGCGAATATTAGAGCAAGCTTTACAAAGTTTCGGCATTGGAACAAAATGGAAAAAGAAGCGGAGCTTGTACGGCAACATTTTGGAAGGTTTGGGAAGAATTGTGCAAGTTACCAAGTTGACGCCTACGCTGCAGCTTTTGTTACGATATTCGTATGCTTTACACGATGTTGACGTGCATCCATCGTGCCTGCGCAGCCGTCCTGCGCTATTAGCAGACTACTCTGGGAGAACTTTATGCTTCATAGATTAGAACAGATTCAACCAATGAGCATTAACTTGCGGGCATATGGTTTCCGGACGTCTTGGCGCAGGAACGTCGTTAGGTGCGAAGCCCAACTGTCATTTGTTCATGTGCTAGGTCTGTGCAAGACACGTTTTGTTGTGGCGATACGCAGGCTCATCGACGAGAGCCTGGACGGTTTGGCTCGAGGCCGGCAGGCACGTACTCGTACCTCCCTTTAGCAGCGCACGTGTGTTTTGAGACCCCATATCCAATGATGAAAGCAACGCAAGTAGCCTCGCTGGTACATGCAGGGAACTATCGCGAGAGCTCCCACATACCTGCGGTGACGCTTGCGCCATCAATGCCCCTGCACGTACGACATCAGAGTGCAGGAGGGTGAGTGTCAGCCAACGACAGCACGCGCGTAAACAACAAGTGATCTCCACGCTGTTCAGGCCACTTGAACCCCGCCGCTGTCACAGGCTTTACATGCGCAGCGCTGGACGACAGCTCCGACCCCCACGCGATACTCCAGAAGCGTAGTCCGCCAGTCCTCAACCTGCACTTTGCAGTCACCTGCGCAGCAGCAAGGTAGACTCCTGGCGCATTTTCAAAAAGGCATCAGCAGCATCAGCCCTACCAGCGATGCCCCTTCCGGTGCATCACATTTCGCCGGCTACAAGGCAGTCCAGCCCGCTTGGACACCGGAGCTTGCAGACCTCAGCTCTCTGGCCAAGGACTGGCGTTATCGTGCTCTTAGCGCTGAACCGTGCCACAGAAGCAAAGACGATGGCGCCTGCAGCAAGGGCAGTGGGAAGGACGACGCTGCCTTGGAGAACGCGATATCGACAGCAGGTCACCACAACATTCCCCTGACCCTTATCGAGCGGACCTGTAACCTGCTGGACCGGCGGCTTGGGAGTGGAGCCTTTGGTGGTGCTGTTGAGCGATCGCGGGCCCGCCACTCCTCATCCCTTGCGGAGGCCGGTGGCGGCGGGGATGCCACTTGCGCTGCTGCGACTCGTCACGCTGCGACTGACGACCTTGCCGACATCATTACCTCGGTTGCTGATTGCCTGACTGGCGATGGCCGGCTTTCGGCGCCGCCGCCGGACCTGGCACGTAGCCTCGTGTCTGCTGCCACCGCCGCAGCGCATACCGCGACCTGGTCCCAGGCCGCCAAGATGCTCGAGGGCATGGTGCGCATGAAGGCCATGGGCAAGAGGTTCTTGGATCAAATTCTGGCGCGCACACAGCGCCTCTTGGCACCGGAGCCCTCGTCGTGCATGCGCCTTGGCATGTACACGCGACAGCGAGCGCAGAAGAAGGCGGCGGGTGGGGATGTTGCTATACACATGTCACCGGACAACATGCCCAGTGCTGTAGATGCAATCAGCCTGCTATGTTCGCTATCGAAAATGCACGCCTTGCCGGCCGCAACGGCAAAGGCAAGCATTCGCGGGGCCATGCTGCGACTCATGTTCTGCCTGCAAGCACGACTACCTGCGTTGCCGGGCCCAGCACCTCTGCTGGGACTTCTGCGAGATGTGACTTCTTGCGGCTGGCGCCACGACCGTGAGCCGGAGTTCCTGCGTCGCATCGGCGACTATCTCTGCACTCGTGCACCGCTAGGAGGGCCGACAGCCGTCGCTGCGGAACTGCCGTCCAGCAGCCCGGTGGCGCATCCTGGTACAGCAGTAGCAGCACCCACAGCCGCACCTGCAGCCGGAGAATTGGGTCTGTGTGATGATGACAGCGTGCTTGCACAGCCGCCACACCTGCACTTCCTAACGCCATCGCAGGTAGTGGAGGTCCTGGATCTGTTTGCGCGTGCCGGAGTGCACCACAGCGGCCTCATGGAATGCGGGCTGGACGCGGTGGAACGCTGCCTACCAGCGTTAGCGCCCTCGCAGGCGGCACGCGTGGCGGAGGTCTGCGCGCGGTTTTCCCACCACAGGTCGTCGCTAATGCATCGCCTGGCGCTGCATGTTGCGGCGTACCTCAGCCTGCCGACGCAGCCGTCGCTGCCCGTCACCAGCGGGATGCTGGTGGCGCCTGGGGACGTGGCGGCGACGGTTGCCGCTCTGGCCAGGTGCCGCGTGCGTGATGAGCGGTTCCTGGATGCCGTGGCGGCGTACGCAGGGGACCACGCGGGAGCGCTGCTGGCGGAGGTGGAAGCGAAGGCGGAAGCGCAAGAGGCAGCGGAAGCGCAGGCGTGGCTGGAGGCGCAGCCGCAGGGACAGGTACATCCGCAGGAGCGGCCTTCACCGGAGGGGGTTGCCTCGGGTGAGGCCGCGTTGACTGCGTTACAGGGAGAGCTGCTGCCGCGGACGGGCGCCACGGCTTTGGGCCCGCTGCGCACTGCGGCGTCGCTGCGGCGGGGGCTAGATGCAGTGGTTCCGGCGGCAGCGGTCCCCCTACTACAGGAACTAGGCGCACAGGAAGGAGGGACGGGAAGCGGCTCGTGCGCGGTGGAGTCTGATATCCTCAGTGGTGCGGCGGGTTGCAGCACCACGGCTGTGGTGGAACACCTGGCCAGCAGCCCGGCACCACGGGAGCATCTGGGGGGTGTTCTGACACAAGGAGCAGAGGCTGGCTGGGGGCAGGTGGACGAAACCCGGCATGAGGGGTCGGAGAGTGCAAGCCCTGCCCGCGCACCCAATTCCCTCCCTGCTGCGGGTCCTTTGCGTGTCTGGGCTGGGGCTCTGGTTGGGGACGTTGGCGTCGACTGTGTGGCGCATGGATTACAGGTGAGCGCGGCTCAGGGCCGACTGCTACAGCCAGCGGCAGGGATAGCAGCAGAGGAGCCGATGTCGGCACCCGTTACGCGCTTGGAAAGCAGCACCGATGAGGTGGCCCTGTTGGAGGCGCTCCTTACACCGCCGGCGGCGGAACTCTCGCTGGCACCGCCCACACCTCCAGCACAGCTCAGCTACATGCGTCCAGCGGGTGAGCACTTGACAAGGGAGCCTGCAGGTAGCATGCAGCGGCGGCCGCCCATGCCGATGCAGCTGCTGGCGCTGGGGACCGTCAGTGCTTCCACGGCCAGGGCCAGGGATGCGGATGCTGGCAACAGCCGCGTAGGTGCCACGGGACATGTTGTGACTGGGCTCGCGGGGGGACATGGCCCAGTCCCCGCTCAGGCCGCACCGGGGCGGCCAGGCGCGGCGGTGGCGGCACAGCGGCACTCTGTTGTTCAGGCCGTCAGGGCAACGCCACAGCGTCCAGGCCTGCCGTTGGCAGACACGCGTGGTGGCGCCACTGGGGACAGCGCAGCACACCGAGTGAGCTTGGATTACATCGCGGCGGACCGCACCGGCCTGGTCATTCGGAGGCTGTCGCCGGCGCTACAGCCTCGTGCGCTTTTGGACGAGCTTCTAGCGATACAGGGCGTCTCGATCGACCTATACTACATGCCGTATGACTACGCTGCGGTTTCGAAGGGCAGGCCTGGCTTAGGCTGTGCTTTCGTGGGTGTGACGTCAGCGGAGGGGGTGGCAGCGCTTGCGGGAAGGCTACAGGCGGGGCCGATATGTGGTGGGGCTGAGGTACGATGATTTTCCTGGCCGTGGAGGAGGCCTCGGGGTTCTGTCCTGTGGGCTTCAGGGGCAGCGAGTGGAGGTGATCCGGCTGTGTCTTGGGCCAGAGCCTGTAGGCATGGGGATAGCTTCCTAAGAATGCAGCGGGCCAAAGATGCTGGGGACGGAGGAGGGGGACAGAGCGGCATGTCCGTCACAAGACGGCGCGTAGCCTTGCTGGAGTGGCCTAGGCGCCAAATGCCTCACCCCGCTATTTGACCTTTTTTCATGTGGGAGGCGGGAAGCAGCTCACGAGAAAATAAGCAGTGAGGTTGATGATGATGTTTCACGCGTCAGGGGGTGTTTTCACCGTTGAAAAGTAAATGGAGATGCCATGCACATGTGCATCTGCTTAATGCAGTTTGTATTTTAACTTTTACATGTCGCTGCTGCGAACCACCTTTCCACTCGCACCAACTCACCGGCGGAGCTCCCTGCAATTGTGCCGGCAGCTGAAACCCAACCGGAGACCATCCTTATCCCATGCTTCTGTTCTGCAGTTGGCGGTTCTGGAGTACCTGCCGCCAGCTAACAGCGACGCACTGCTGAGGGCGCTGCTCAACCCGTCGTCGGGCTACAGTCCCCCGCGCACAGATACGACTTCTAGGCCCGTGTTGCTGTATGTGAGCGGCTCGCTACGTGGCCAGGTATGTGTGACCGACGGGGCGTGAATTGGGCGCTGCAGCGGCGTGAGCCGGAGCAGCACCTGCGACGGGCGCTGCAGCAGCGTGTGGCCGCGGCAGCGCCTGCGGAGTATGAAACAGGCTCCATTGCAGGAGCAGGTTTGCGCGGTGTTAAATATTTATTGGGGTGATCTTTTCGCATTCATGTGTCTTGCTGCTGAAATATGGTTTGGGTTCATTCGCATATCATCCCTGGACCATTGCCCTCCTCACGGTAGGCTATGGCCTATATGCAATATGGTATGCTTCCCGTGCGGGTGCTCGGCTAGACCATCTTTAAGTCTATAGTTCTGATGCTGTCGAGCGATGTTCGAAGTAGTGACAGCACAAATACTGGCACCCATGCCTCGTGTGCTTCACCTGAAGTCTGCTGGCAAGTCCAATTGTCGTTCACCAGCCTGTTTTCGCCTTCAACTCACGAGGGCCCACTTGACGGTTTGTGGTGGGTATACGTCCTGATAGTGCGGCTCTGTGGGCCTGGCGCTTGCGTGTCCGCAGGTACAGCCGATTGAGCCTAAGGATGTGGAGATGTACGACTTGCGCCCCGTCAGCGGGAAGATCGCTTGCGATCCGCCGCAGGTGCCTCAACACAAAGAACGTCATCGCCGACATTCCGAGCAGCAACACCAACATGGGCATCCTCAGCAGCCAAATGGCTCGTCCTACGCCGCACCAAGGCGGGGGAATGTGGTGCCTCATATGGCGCCGGGGCCGGAGATGTGTTCCTTGGACAGCACGGCAATACGGGGGCATGGTCTCCCCGTCGAGACCACCCTGTCCGGTCGAGACCACACAGCCTCCGTCACCGTTGCATGGAGCGAGGTCAGCGACGCCGCCCATGGAACCCTTCAGCCAATGGACACCCTTCAGTCCGGCTGGTGTGATGCGGTGCGTTGTTGGCCGCCGGAGCATCAGGCTAGGGGGTTAGGACAGCAACAGCATCCGTACGGTGACCCTGTCCATGCGATGGCGCGGACACACGCACCCGCAACCTGCAACTCATCTACGGTGCAGTCGCCCCTAGGTACCTCACCGCGGCCGCCGCCGGAGGGTCATCTCGTCAGCGACAGCAGCAGCAGCAGCGGCAGAGAGAGCTACGGCACAGGTTCAGCAGCTCGGCGGCAAGGTCCCTACGTAGACGTGCTGTCGCGACCACACGGTCTGCTGGCTGTGTCCCAACTCGCCTTGATCGCGCACAGCATGGCCGTACTGTCGTACCACCCGCAGAGTTTGCTAGGGACCCTGAGCGACCTCATGCGGCGCCTGCTGAGGCCGGTGCTCCGCGACCCGCGCCTGGCCATCGCCATGCTCCCGCCGGCAGCGGGCGACGCCTCGGCGGAGCCTGGTGCCGGCAGAGCTGCGGCATCAGGCACCGATGATGGGGCAAGTAGTCCACACCTGTCGCTGCCACCGTCGCAGCAGCAGCTGGTGGATCTGTATCTGCTGCCGGCCAAGTCCCTCCTTCATGTGCTCCACGCCCTCGCCGCACAGCCTCGTCCCGATGCAGCCGCCTTTCACGAGCTGGCGGACGTGTGTGCGATCTCCCTGTCTGGATGGGCACCTCGCCACTGCGAGGGTGAGCCCGCAGGGCCGCATGCGATGTCCGCAGGTCCCTGCGCGCCAAGGTCCCACGGCCCTGGCCCCTGCACCGCGGACGGGGCTATGCATGCGGGACTTCTGGGCGAGGCTGCAGTTGCGGCAGCGGCGCCGCTGCCACCGCCCGACGTCTTGGACGTGCACGTGCGGCTGCTAGCGCAGGCGCTGGGTGCCGCTGCGGACCACGGTGCTGCGCTGTACCACCCGCGTCTCTGCGACGCAACCGCGTCACTGCTGCGGCATCGCCTGCAGTGCCTGCGTACGCGCGCCGCATGCGCACTGTTGCAGCCGTTGGTGCGTCTGCGGCACCCTCCGGCATGGCAACTGGTAGCGGCTGTGGCGCCGCTACTGGCGCAAGAGAGCGGCCGTCTGTCTGCCGCGTCGCTGGTGGACCTGGCATGGGCGTGCGCAAGGACGTGCCTGCATGACAGCAGCACTCCAGGCCAAGTGGTGCATGCGCTGGCTACGCGCACCCGGCAGCTGCTTCACCAGCTGCCCACCAGTGGCGTTGTACAGATGTTCTGGGCGCTTGCGGCGCTGGGCTACGACGGCGGCGGCCACAAGGACGCAGCTGCCGCTACTGCCGCACACACTGGCGATGGGCCCGACCTGTACTGGCAGCTTTTGCAGGTACTGCTGCAGCGGTACGACATTAGCGCACGCGACCTGCTACTGCTTCAGGAGGGACTGAAGCTGCGGCGCCGGCAGCGAGTTATCGCCCGGGCGGCGGCCGCAGTCGCTGATATGGCGGATGACCCGCCGTCGGGGTTATCGACGGGAACGGATGAGCACCTCATGGAGGCCTTTCTGAAGGAGCTGCTGTACCGCACAGGAGCGACGGAGGTAACGGGTGCGATGGCGGTGGCGACGAAACAGCAGGCGCAGACAGTTGTGCCTGCAGACGTGGCAGTGAGGTTTACTTGGTGCGGCGCTACCAGGGCGGTCGCTGAGAACTCACATTCTATGCTACGCCACCGGGCAGTGGTCCCGCTTGCTGCGGCAGAGCTGCTGGGCTCGAACGTTGTTGCTTTGCCCACCACCCAGCAAGTGGCGGACTCCGCACAACCTGCCAGCAGCAGAGAAGGCTTAGGCTTGGTGTTGGCGGCCACTGCGGAGGCTTGCGCTGTCTCAGAGGATGGTCGCAGGCACCCACTATGGATAACAACACCACTGCCGTCCTCGTCCTCATCCCCACCTACGCCTGTGACGTTACCCGCGGACGTCACTGTGGCGCAGATCGGAGCAGCTCGGAAACAGGCTCACCTCGCGGATGAGCCTGAAAGTTTGGAAGGCAACGGGAATGGCGCAACGCACTTGTCCGGGGAAGTGCCTCGGACGGGCGCCGAAGCGCTTCCAAAGGTGTCCACGACGAAACCGGAACTGGACTCGAAGACCACGGAGGTGCTGCCGCCCCTGCCAAGCTGGCGTTCAATAACGGGGGCTGCACCTACTGCAACGGGCAACTCGCTTAGCTCTGAACCCAGCTGTGCAGGGTCTTGTTGCGAGGAGGAGGGGGAGTCGAGCAGCAGCTTAAACACTATTAGTAGTAGCTCTAGCAGCCTTGGAAGCAGTGTCACGGATAGTCACACAGGAGACAGTCACGCGGGCGATAGCTTTAGAGAAGGTAGATACAGCCGCGATAATGCGCTAGTGTCGGGCAGCAGGCATGCGGGTGGTGATTCACTGGCGGTTGGGGGACTGGTGCGTCAGTTTCTGATTGCTCGTAGGGGCCTGCGGCTGGAAGAGGCAGACGGGGTGTTGATGCGGCTGCAGGTGCCGGACGCAGTATTGGCGAGAGCCAGTGCCAGGGCGACTTCTTCAGTGGCTTTGTGATTACGTCATTAGCTTCTTGACGGAGGAGAGTCGAGCATAACCGATTATCAGCAACAGGAGCAGCAGGATAGAGGCTTGCTTCGTCCCCGAATTACGTTTTCGGGCCCAGGGACCAACGGACGGACGAATCAGGCCATGCAGAATGAATGGAAAGTACGCGAATGGAAATAGCGATGTGTGTCTGTGTGTGTATATAGGGGTGACAGCATTGGACCTAGTTTGACGTGGGTGTGGGTGTTACCCACCTTGGAAGACGCATACCCTGAGACGCAGCGGAGGGTCATAACCCCTTTTTTTGTCGTATGACGCGCCGAGCGTGCTGCACAGTAGACAGAGACGTGCTGGACTGCAGGAGTAGAGTTGTGGCACAGTTGGCTTTAGGGTATACAAGGGGCAGTGACCGAGCCCCCGCATTGTGATATAGAGGGGTCACGCGCGGAATGTGTTTTTGGGGCACCGTGTGCAGATTGCACCCGTGTGTGCGTGCACGTGCACACGCCTTAGCTAAAAAGTTGCCTCGAGTCCGCGCAGCCGCAGGAAGTGCGTTTGCTTGGCCCCTAGCTGTGTGTTAGGGGCGCTGAGACAAGGCGGACATGTCCTGTGCGTAATGCCTGTGAGTGCGCAAGGTAGGTGCGCTTGACTGCCGGGTTGTGGAGTTCGGAGCTGCGCCGCCACGCCATGCGTTACCGGATTGTTGATAGCGGCAGTGTGGGCGCCTTGAAGACAACGCCCGGGCTCATGATTGTAGATAAACCCCTCAGGAAACGCAAACCAAAGTGCAGTACATGTCGCATTCGCAGAGGCGGCACGGGTTCATGGAAAGGGATCATGCCCTGGGTTATCGCAGCAGCACCGCAGTCAGTCCGATTTCCCCAAAAGAATGACCAGGCTCAGAAGCTTGGTAGGGCGGGACATGGCTGGTAGCTGCTCTATATGCACAGGGCAAAAGCATCTTCATCAGGCGGTGCTCTCCGAATCATGACAACAGTTTGCATGGACGGCCCCACCCTACCACCCTTCTCCCGTCGCACTCAGTCTTCGCGTTCGCCTTGAGTTTTCTTGTCCCTTTTCCAGCACCTATTGAGAAGTACCGGAGATGCCGCCTTTAAAAGGACAGAACACCTCCTCTTCAGACCGGGCACTCTCCACTTTGCAGCGGGCGGCCTCACACTGCTCGCCCGCCGCTGTTTGAAGCGCAGTGTTTAAGAGCAATTGAAATTCATTTCGAACTGAAATACGAACGACCGCATGCCGTAAGAAGCAGCGAAACGCTGTGCTCAACACCAGAAAGCTGTCCGTGGCCCTGCTACTCTGAAACATGTGCGGCATCCAGTTCTTCCCTGGAGGACAGGGGCCCTGTCCTAGTAGGCCCGAAAACCCTGGTGCAATCTCGGTGGGAAATCAGCGCCCGCTTACCACCCGCCCGGTATATCGTTGCTCTCCCGGGGGAAGGTGGGAACTGCCGCCACCTTTTAGCAACATGCAACGCCGACATAACACGTCTGACAACAGGGTTTCAGAATGTCCTGATACTCATTTTCCCATCAAACATATTCCACAACGCACGACGTTCTCCCTCTCTTTCCGCTTCCCATCCCTCTCCTCCCCGGCACCTTCCTAGCTGCCCCCAAGCAGCACACCTAGCCAGACCGGTCGGCCATTCCCCCATACCTCCATCAGCCACCTCATCAGCCTACTCAATCCATCTGACAACCAACAAACAAACCGACTTCATCCACAGCCCACAATTAAGCTCAGGCTCCATCTCATCCACCTCATCCACTCCTACCTCACGTTCCGCCCTCCGCAACCCCTCTAAATCCCTCCTCCCGTAGAACGGTAACAGCATCATCAGCCGAGTGGCTTCGGTACTTACTTTACGTTTTTTCGCTCGTCTAAAGGTCGCTAAGCGGCCCGTCCAACGGAGCCATGGGTTGACCTCCCGCAAGTACCGAGCCGCCGGCCCCTCACGTCCTCCTCCTCGTCCCACTGCTCTGCTCTGCCTCCTCTCACCGCTGTCAGCGCTGCAGTCTGCGACTTCTGTGGTCTCTTCCTCTGGCCTCCTCTTCGTCAACAGGTACCCTGATTTTATGACCCAACATGCCGCAAGGCTACATGCCCCGTGCCCTTGCCACGTGCCCACCCCGCCCATCAGGTTCGCATGTCTGCGCCTCCTCCGGGTCCCAGTGCTGCTTCCATAATCCCATCCTTTGCCCCGCCCCACTTCCCGGTCTGCAAAGTCCCATTTTCCCTCTCTCCCCCTTCCCAGCCTTCTCCCCAGCCCCGTCCCGCCTCAATCCGTCTTGCGGCCCAGTAGGCTATCCATCGTGAAGTGCCCCGCCCCCAGGCACTGCAGCAGCACCAGGCCCCCGGCCACAGCCAGGTTTGTGAAGAAATGCAGCCGCACATGTGCCGCGTAATGCCAGGACGGCCAGTACCAGGCCCAGAAGGGCCAACACGTGACCGCCTCCAGAAGCAACACAGCCACCAGGCCGCGACAGGTAAGACCCGTCTGCGCCAGCGCCAGGGTAGGGCCAGGAGCGGGGCCCCGGGGGTAGGAGCAGGGGAGGGACAGGCCAAAGAGGCGGTGGGATACGAGGTGGGACTAGATATCTGTAGTGGCAAATGGTGCGAGAGGAGGCGCAAGGTATGGGTGTGGTGGTACCGCATGCATGACAGTGAGCCGAGGAAGTGAAGTAATCCTGACGGCGTCCGTGCAGTTTGGTTTTGGCCCGCTGCCCTCCTCCGGTGCCCTCCTCACCCGCTACACCTCACCCCCTCGCTCCCACCTGCCAGCCCAGCGCCAGCGGCACGCACAGCACCATCTGCAACAACTGCCAGTTGTTGTCATGGCTGTCGGGGACGCCAAAGTGGTGACGTGCTGCGCCGGTGGCGGTGGCAGCAGCCAGGTCGGGAGCCGCGCCCGGGCCGCTGCCAATCGCCGCCGCTGCACCACCACCCACCGCGGCCGCCGCGCCCGCAGTCGCGCCGGCAGCGGCAATGCCCGGGAGCGGCGCACCCGCCGCCGCCGCGCCAGCCGCGGCGGCGCCAGCCGCCGTTACGGCGGCCTCCGCCGCTGTCATTGCTGCCTCCGCCACCGAGCCCTTCCCCCCCGATGGCGTTGCCATGTCGGGTTGCATCCGGGGACCATATGCAGCCTGTAGAGCGGCGGCGGCGGCGGCCTGTTGTCGCGGCGTCAGCGCAGCTGCCTGCCACAGGGCACCGCCGCGGGCCATGACACGCCGTACTTGCGACAGCCCCGCGAAGAGCAGCAGGCAGGCGAGCAGCAAGCGGCCCGCCAGGAGGGCAGCGGACTTCTTCCGACCGGGAGTACGGCTGCCCTGGTCATCCGTCAACAGCATGCCTGTACGCGAAGACGTTGAGCGGTGGAGCGGGGGCGAGAGCCGAGGGGCAAGGAGAAGGGGCTGCTGTTCCTAGCACACGGTTCGGATATGCGCCACGACGGCCGAATGGGACTATGCGTTAAGAGCCGGTGATACCAATTATGGGAAGCGATGCGAAGCCGTTTATTATTTTAGTTAATCAACCCAACCAACCCAACCACCACCAGGTTGCCTGGCAGTTGTCTCGCTACACGCCTACCACTTGTCACCCTCTTCCACCCACCCACCCGCGTATGTGCGCATCTTGGCTCGGTCTCTGGCGCTGTGAGCCACCACCAGTAGGGCCACCCCAATCTGGTGGGGCCAGAGGGGCAGAGGGGCAGCAACAAGGATTACGTGGCGCAGGTGCTCAGGACCCGGACCTAGTGCGTCAGGTGCCGCCCGCCATCGGTACATGCACATGAAGTACATAAGAAGGGTTCTCGCGGACGATTGACATCGCTGGAGGCTGGAGGTGACCACCGGGGGCTGCCCGCCACCAAGTTCGCTACTCGGCACTCCTGGGCTTCATCAGCACCCTCGTCATTTTCTTGACGCTCAACCACAACCACAACCACAGCAGCTTCTGTTGGAGTTCGTGCAGGCTTGGAGCGTGATGCAACCGCCGTAACCACAATCAAACGCAGCTCAACCACGTGAATCCGCAGCCCCTAAAGCCACGCCGTGCCATGCCACGCGACCAAGCACCCCGCACACTGCGACCCACCATGGCCAGCCGCTTGGCCAGAAGCTCCGTTGGCCTACTGCCGTACCGTACGATGCTGACGATCTGCCGCCATGACAGCCTGGCGTCCTCGTACAGGGTCGTCGCCAGCAGGGCGCCCCCCGTCAGCGGTACCAGCAGTCCGCCGGCGCACAAGAGTGCACAGGGCAGTAGAACCGCCACCTGGAGGGGGTAGGGGAGAGGGGGCCGGTAGGTAGGTAGGATGTTTAGGGGTGGAAGGACTGGTAAAGTTGGGGGGCAGGTAGGTAGGTAGGTAGGTAGGTAGGTAGGTAGGTGGGTAGGTAGGTAGGTAGGTGGGTAGGTAGGTAGGTAGGTAGGTAGGTAGGTAGGTAGGTAGGTAGGTAGGTAGGTAGGTAGGTAGGTAGGTAGGTAGGTAGGTAGGTAGGTAGGTAGGTAGGTAGGTAGGTAGGTAGGTAGGTAGGTAGGTAGGTAGGTAGGTAGGTAGGTAGGTAGGTAGGTAGGTAGGTAGGTAGGACCTCGCCGCATCCTGGAGCTCGCAACGCCCCCGGGGCCCAGTCCACCACCGCAACGGCGCCAAACAGTTTGACCCCCCCCTTCCCCGACAGACCCCCCTGCGATCGCCGAGTGCCCAACCCTCCACGGACCCCTGCCATCTCCTCCCCCGCACCCCGCCTATTCAGAGAATATCCCCGCACACACTGCACCAGCTTGACGGATCCACACTCCACCCCACCGCACTCCACCCCACCGCACTCCACCCCACCGCACTCCACCCCACCCCACTCCACCCCACCCCACTCCACCCCACCCCACTCCACCCCACCGCAGCCCATGCCGCAGTCCCGCTGGCTGGTCCCCACGCACCATGAATACGGGGAATGCGGGCGGCCGGGGCGGCGGTTCATCCGCCCAGCGGCGCCTGTGGGGGGCGTTCTTTAGGTGCACCCACATCTCCACCGCCTCCGCCACCTGCACCGCCGCCGCCACCAGGGAGAGAAGCCAGGAGGCTGTCAAGCCTGGCCTGGCAGGGGCGCGCTTCCTCTTGGTCCCGCATAGCTTTCCTCCCCTTCCCCCCAGGTTCGAGATTTGCCGGTAGATCGCGTTGCGTCGGTCGGCTAGCCGGACTAGGATAGTTGGGTCGGTCGGGTCGGGTGCGTGTTGGGGGGTGAGCGGAGCACTTGCATGTCACCAGCAGCTTATTACCAGCTTATCAGCCAGTCTTTGCTCCAGCCTCTTCAATGCCGCCGCCAGGCCGGCGGCTACTTTATTCCAGCTCACATCATCCCTTTCTCTTCTCAAGTCAGTTTTTATTACTCTTTCGCCGCCTTTACACCTACCTTTACTATTTCACGGCTTGGGTCTACTGCTCTTTTTCCGCTCTTATTTTAGTCTTGGCGGCTAGGTAGGTAGTTTTCCGCCATCGTCATCCCTACATCATCGCCAAGATTGCTTCTTCACAACCGCCGACTGGTTAGTTGTAATTTTCTACATCTGCAGCAGCAGCCTTTCCTTGGCATCAACCGCAGTCGCTCGCGGTTTCGTCTTTCCCCCCCTCCCCTCCCCTCCTGCAAGGGGTAGGACGCGACTGTGCGCCGTACGGTCCGTACCAGCACCAGTACCAAGCAACGGCAGAGCTCCTAGACCGCACCCCCCCCCGCACCCACCCCACCTGGTTGACGTAGAACGCACACACCAAGGCCCTAGCCACCCACTTGGCCAGAGGACCGCTATCCAGAAGCTTCACCAGCGCCCAGGACCGTCGTGCTCGCTCACTCCAGGATGCAGGCTCCGGAGCTACCACCTCCTGACGGTGCCGTACACCCGTACATGTATACGCACGTACATGGGTGGGCTCCAAAATTCAAAAATCACGGCACACGACCGTTGTGCATTTCTCATTTCTCAGAGCACCAACGGCAAAGAAGTGCATTGCACCAACCCGGATACATGGTGGTTGCTGTGGTGAATGCGATTGTAAATGGTTGGTAGTTGGTACGGACATGCCTCTCGGCATCAAAATTGCCGTACGAGCGAGCAGAGGTGCGTAAAACGGTTAATGGTCTCTCCGCGCTTCAGGTTGACTGCGGTGACATCTTGGCCTACCCGGTGCGCGCTCCTCTTCTTCTTCATCCTCCCGCTCCGTCCTCAGACAGCAAAGTCTCTTATCCATCCTACCAATTCACCAATTCACCGATTCACCAATTCACCAATTCACCAAAGCCAGATAGCCTTGATCCTCATCGAACCACCCACCCCGCGCCCCCCCCCCGTCCATAGACCTGGCCGCGCCTCCCCACCTGCGCGGCGATCTTGACCGCCGACAGGTTCTCAGCAGCGCTGCGCCACTCCTGACCCTGCTGCTCCAAGGCCCTCTCCCGCATCTCAATCATCTGCTGCTGCGCACGTACCTTGATTCGTGCCCAGTAGCCAGCCGCCGCCGGACCTTGGAAAGGGGGTCGGGGGAGATCATATGCAGAAGTGGGGCGGATGGAGTACCATGTTAAGTGTAACGAGTGACAGGGGGGCAAGGTAGCAGAGGTATGGGAACTTCCCAGTATTGAGGTGAGGGAAGGGGTTGGGAAACAGAAAGGCGCGTATCAGAACGAGGCTGGACGGGAAACGGACGTCAGTGCAGTCGGGGGCACCACCCGCCGGAAGACTGTGATATGGGTCAGGAAGGGCCAGATGATGGCATCAGAGTACGGCATTGGCGGGCAGCAGATCCTGGCTGTGTCCTGGGCTGTGTGGCGGCTGGGGTTGCTGCGACGGGCGGACCGTATGCCGGGTAGAATTATATGCAACATCAAGGAAAACATATGCCGACGTATGTCTGTTTGTGGGGTGGAGAGATCTAGGTGGGGTTCGTAAGAGTAATGGCTGGTGCGTGGGACGTATAGGTGAAAAGCATATTTGGCACTGAAGAAGGGAACGTAACAGGGAGCGCGCATCGTGGGTTCGTTTAAGGCCAAATGACCCATGGGTCGTTCATGAACTCGTGATATGCCCGAAAATTCACACGCATGAATTTGCAGGTGCGCTCTCCTAATCCGCGTTAAGCTTACAGCAATCACATCAATAAGCCGGTATTTTTCCGCCCTAGGAAGGGTAGCAATCGGAACGCGGTGGCCGCTGGGAAGGCCTACTCTGCATGCCGATCTGTCAGTTCATGGCGGGCTATCATGGCGCACCTCCTGGGCCAGGAATGGCGCGGCTGAATCCGGGCCCTGCAGGCGCATCCGCCACCGCGCCTACAGGAGGTAGCAGGGGCTGGATTTCGCTGGAAGAGCCGCCACTTATGGCCGCGGCCTCTGGTGGACGAGGAAGGTTTTGCATTTGCATCTTTTCAGACGTTTTGGAGCCTCGCTTTCCGCTTTCCAAGCTGATGCTGCACCTCAATTTGCAACTACCCAAAACGCTGTAATGAGTAGAGATCGGTGTCTTCGCTGCGGTGAGCAGGCTACCGAAAGACGCGAGGTCTGCTGAAGAGCACGATATCAGCTGTGTTCTGGTCGCTTAACCCACTTCGGACATGAACGATTAGTATGTCAGCTGAGGAAGCAATTCGTGAAGAAAGTCCTTGCCAAATGTTCTTCCTGTCGGGCAAACATTGTTACGACATTGGAGAGCCGCCATGGATGACCGGCAAATCGAATGATGGCGAACACGGCGCAACAATAGCTTCATCGAAGTGCAGCAGTAACACTCCGCACATAAAAGAGAAGTGCGGAAGCCGGGTAATGCAGGATTAGGCATTACCACAGCTGGCATCGGGTTTGCGCCTTTATGCTGACGCCCGACGATTGTGCTGGTCATGGGTGACGACCCGGATGATGAAACCTCAAGGACGCCAGGGGCCTCCTTTGGCCACCCACATCTCACATAGGGCCAGCGACCTGTGCGGCGGCTCGCATAACCTCCTCGTCGAGCAGCGGTAACCAGCAAGCCCAAGGAGGAGAAAGGGGCGAAAGTCGTGGTCATGCGGTGTGGACCGGCAATGATTCATCAGAGTCAGAATCCGTTTTGGAGAGCCGTCTCATAGAGACAAAAGGCCAAGCAGCAAGGCACTGCGTAAAATGCGGTCCTAACATGCAGGCGTATCAAGTTATCACGACTGCATTTTGTTTTTGATATCTTTGGGATTCAAGGTAACACCATCTGCTTGTAAGGGACCTAAACGCAAAGGTCCCCCCGGGACGGAGCCCCCGGGATTGCCAACCGCCGGCGTGCTCCTGCATGCGTCCCGGCCTGTTCGTTTTTCCAAAATTATTACCTTCACAACAGCATTTCATGTTATCGATTCATTAGTTATAACTTTGCGGGCCTGGATAATCGTTTCGCGACAAACACTTTTTTTGAGCATAGATCCAAACGCCCACTCTCTGACCGCAACGTTTATCGCGCCAGTCCGCTACGCCTGTACGGCGAGTGGAGGACTTGGTGTTGGTTCCCCGTGTCACATCGAACATATTATCTTGCCGCGAATGGGTGCAGTCGACAGCTCGACCTCAATTACACCAATTAAGGCCACCCCAGGATGGCCTTCAGTCCACGTGGCCGCGTCCCCACACTGGGTCATGTACGCGTAACTGCGTACCGCCTAATCGCAATGGCCAGGTGGCTTGGCAAGCTAATCTGCCGTGTTTTTTCGGGCACCAACAGCGCCTGCACGTGGAAGATCGCTACGCGGCAGTCATAACCGTGCTTGTGCATATAACAGTTACATTCTTGAGGGGCACGTGATGTTTCACGAGCCCACAGCCCCTTAGCGACTGCAGGGGGCTGAGTCCCTACACGTCCAGGCACCTTACTGGTCCTATTCAGGAAGCCGGCCGGGCGGCCCGGGCATCATCACACGGTGTGGCACCTTGTAGCTGCTTCGGAGCCTTTAAGCGGTCCTCCTCCGCAAGCCGTAACGCACCCTGACTTTATATAACCCTTGCCGCCTTGCTCCTACAAAGGCAGAACCCTCAGAAGGGATTGGGTTCACCCGGGGCGTGGCTCTCATGGCTGAGAGCTTGTTGATGCTGTTGACGCGTCTTACGGAGGCTCCCATGCCGTCTATTGTTCGATCATGCGGTTTGCCCAAGCATTTACACCTTTCTGGATGGGCCTGTTGCGCGTTTCATTCCGACGTGCATTAAGGCAGGCCCCGGCTTCTCTGCATTTTTGTGGCCCACCCCACAGCCTTGGCGTGTGTGGCGAATGACAACGACCACCAGGCGCAGTCACTCTCCACCCCTCATCGCCTATCCAAGCCCGCATATACGCCAAGCAAGATGAACATTTACTGAATGACAAAGGTAAGATAGGCATCTCTGTACACCCTGTACACCCCAAGTTGAAGGTCAGCGCCCATTTGTCATGGCACTGTGAGCCCACCAGGTGCTGTTACCTGTGTGACACGAAACCCGTACATGCACGTGAACTATTAACATTTGGATCGGTACTGGCTTGTTCAAACAATTGTGAGGCAGTTCCCTCCAATCGCCGTGACGGCAGTATCTCTCCAAAACACCGTGGCGGCTGTGCAGTCCGCTCAATGCATACACATGCAGCAACTGTTCTTCCCATGTGTATCGTGGGCCATACTGCTCGTGCGTTGGTGCTTTTACCCACTCTCCACCATAGCGCGTAAAGAAGCTTACGCGTTTGCCAAGTGCCGTTCAACGTAGCGAACTGCTATCCAAAATAGCACACCCAACGCAACGTTCAGCAATAGCAGAGGCAGCGCGCTGTACAGCGAAGACATCCACGTGCCGTCCGTGGACTTTGGCACAGCACGCTTCGCACTGACATCGACAGGTATGCCATCCTGCGGGAGAAGCCCAGTCATTATCCCCACCGACACGCCAAAAACCGTGAGGTTCGAGCGCGTGAACTCCTCCCACGTAGGCTCAAGAAAGCAGCTTTCAAGCCACTCCTGCGTGACATACACTAAGAAACCATCAAGGTCCGACGACGAGGGTTTAAGCTCATCCACAAAGGTAATGGCCACAGAGCTCTTGTTCTTGGGGCGCTGCTGCCAGGAGCTAGAATAGGGCCGCAAAATTCCTACGCTTCCCGATGGCATAGATTGGACAGCAACCACTGCCCAATACGACTGTCCTGTATGACTATGTGTGCGAACTTGCAAGCCAACAGGCACGGCCGGCCGCCTGCGCTTCAAGGACTCGGACGCCATACCACTACGTTTCTTGAAGAAGCGTCTGCTGTTAGGCTAACCAAGTCCTGTAAGTTGATAGCGCGTGCGTATGCCGATGTTCGTTAGGCCAAATCTGTTGTTTCCGGGACGAAGATTGCGTAATTCACGGCAATTCTCCACTAAAAGCTATTCTTGGGGCGGTGCATGAGATTGTTTCTTCAATAAATGTGCAAGTGCTTGTCTTCTTGTTTTCGTGGCAATACGTTTGACGCAAAGGAGAGTCTTACAACCCTGCAGTTCCCGAGTCCTCTACGGACGCTGCGGATGGTTGATGCTACGCTTCTGTATTCGTATGGCAGTTTCGTCAAAAATTTCAAGGACCTGTTCTATACTAAGCCCGGCAGTGCTCCATCAGCATGTCCTGCGGCGTCGGCTGTACACACAACATAATAGTGCTCTTTCCAGTCCCCAGTTCCCATTAGGTTTCAACATGGAACCGATTTCAAAGTCGTTCCTGCGAAGGTCTGTCTGCACTGAGGGCGAGGCTTTCGAAAGTGGAATTATACGCGGTGCCGCCGTCAAATACAATGACTCTGCCGCTCTTAGGTTGCGTCGAAGAGCTCTTATCAAGGTGGGTTGGGATGTCCTGGTGTAGCTGGTGTTGTCAGGCAACAAGCGGACAAAGTTTACATGCCTAGCTAGGTTTGGTATGCTGTAAAAAGCTTGAGGTGTTTCGTGAGAACGTTTTACGAAACAACCAGCCGTTTAACCGTGTTTTGAGTGTTTGGATTGTTCGTCCCCCGCGCAACACCCGAAACCTACAGTGGCAGCCGGGCGCACCAAGTAAGGTGCTCATTGTGAAGAAACCCAAGAACCCCGCTGCATCAACGAAACTTCACGAGATAGGAGCCTGGCTGCGTGCCCGGGGCATTGAGGTGTTCGTCGAGAGAGTTGTCTGGGCGACGGAGTTTAAGGTAGGTGAAATAATTCGGCTATGCAACATAACAGACAGTCCTTGAATGTTAGCCATGGGTATTTACGCAGGATGCGGGTTGGTGGTGCTATGCGCTGCCCTCAGCTGCAAGCGAAGCTCTTGGCGCGGCCTAATGACGACTCATCGATTTGGCATGATTGTGTATCTTTTTATTGCCAGCGCCTCGCACGGCTCTCGTTGCCATGTTCTCTGGCTCGCGCTGACATTGCAATATATCCTGACATTCATCTCAGTTTATCGCTCCGCCTCGCTATTTTCGGTCGTACTACCAGGAATTTAGCATTTTTGATCCACACGTCAATCGCCACGACATCGACTTCTGCATCTCACTTGGCGGCGATGGGACGGTGCTATACCTCACGTCGCTTTTCGAGGAGGTGGGTAAACCGGGGATTCTATTGCTGGCGGGCTACCATAACACAGTCCTTTACCTCATCACCTTTCCTTGTTTCCCACTGGGTAAATATGTCATCTTCACGTTCTTATCCTATTCGATGCTGCATTGCCAATGCCCCTCTGAAATCGTCCACCATTAAAGAAGGGCACTCATCCCCCGGTCTGGGCCCTCCACAGGATGAGCCTCTGCCGCCGGTGTTGTGTTTTGCCATGGGCACGCTGGGCTTCCTCACCCCTTTTGACGTGGCCAACTTTGAGGCCACATTGGAGCGCGTGCTGGACACAAACAGTCAGCCGCTATACTGCACGCTGCGGACCAGGAAACGCTGCGAGGTGGTGTACGACGGACGGCTGGAAGCCGTACATCACGTTCTGAACGAGTGAGATTCCGTTGTTCCTGGCCTGGCCTTAGGGCAAAAATATTGGTATGCGGAAAGCATTGCCGTGAGCGTCTACAGCATGTGTGTGTGTTGCCCCTTGAGCGTCGCGTTACCCTCAAAAAGGAGTAATGGTGTTCAGTGCGGTACCGAGCCATGTCGGCTCAGTGCGGTACCGAGCCATGTCGGCTCAGTGCGGTACCGAGCCATGTCGGCTCAGTGCGGTACCGAGCCATGTCGGCTCAGTGCGGTACCGAGCCATGTCGGCTCAGTGCGGTACCGAGCCATGTCGGCTCAGTGCGGTACCGAGCCATGTCGGCTCAGTGCGGTACCGAGCCATGTCGGCTCAGTGCGGTACCGAGCCATGTCGGCTCAGTGCGGTACCGAGCCATGTCGGCTCAGTGCGGTACCGAGCCATGTCGCAGCAACTCCCACAGCTTTACCCACATACAAAGTTCACCCTCATCACCTTTCCGCAGGTGTGTCCTGGATCGCGGCGCCTTCCCGGGAGCTGTCCTGCTGGAGATCTTCGTTGACGGCTCGTACGTTACCAACGTGGAAGCGGATGGGCTCATCATTTCCACCCCCTCGGGTTCTACCGCCTACTCCATGTCTGCCGGGGGACCGGTAGTGGCGCCGTCGGTGCCCTGCACCGTCTTTACGCCCATCGCGCCGCTGTCACTATCCTTCAGGTGAGCACCGCCGGACATGTGGAGCAATCAGCGCCTGTCCTGACCTGGCCTTAGGAAGCGAGCAAGGGGGCGGAGGTTTGTAGGGAGACATGGTAGCCTGTCGCCCTCACTGCGTTTCCAAAGCCCGCAGACGTTGTTGCGGCATGTCCAGATGCCCTCACCGGCTAAGTCGTGCCAATGAGCTTGTCTTTATAATCCAGCCCACTTGCCCCCACTTTGCTGCCATACTCAAAGCCGCCATCTTTGCACCTGTGTCCTGCAGATGTAGGTACTTAATGTACGAGACGGACCATTATCCGCCCTTCCTCGCACCTTTGACCCTGCTCCTTCTGGCTGTCCTTCCCGTCCAACTACAGGCCGGTGGTCATCCCCGAGTCGTCCTCTATCTGCGTGCATCTGCCCACGTGCGCCCGCTCCCATGCACGGGCTTCCTTTGACGGCAGGAAGCCCATGCGGGTGCGGCGGGGCACCTCGCTGTTCTTCACGACCTCGCTGTGCCCCCTGCCCGTCATCAGCCTGGGACCCATGGACACCGACTGGTGCGTGTGTGGAGGGCGGGGAGGGGGGCAACACGTGGGAGAGAATGTGACTTTGCCGCAGTCGGGATGTACTATCTAGGGAGCTGTGCGGACACATATGGGGAGGTTGCTGGGTGACGAGGACACGGAGTGGGTTAGACCTCAGGCTTGTATCGCACTGGGCGCGGATAAAGAGGAGGACACAGGCACCTGTTAGGGCCTGCGGCGCCCGTTATAAGGCCTCGAGGTTTGGGCCTGCCATTGGATGTTTCTCAGAAACTCGTTGCTTGGCCTGGATCTATGGATTGTGGCCGTACTCGTTAGACGCTTGTGGAGGGTGACCTTGCCGCATAGGTAAAGGACCTGCAAACAACACGCTCCTGATGTCATACGAGCCTCAGGAATGTTAGCCGCGCCCCATAAATCCTTTCCTAGGGTGTGTTGTTACGGCGCCATCAATTTCGCGTGTCGCTGTCGCTGTAGGTATGAGGGCATCACCAGCAAGCTCAAGTGGAACCAGGCAATCCGTCAGCTGCCCAGCTGCCCAAGTCCTGTGGGCGCCCAGCAGCAGGAGCTCTGCAGCGCGCGCCTTGCGGACCGCGCCGCGGCAGAGGTGGCGCTGGCAGCAGCGGAGGGCTGCCCCGTACCGGACGACGCGTACCTGGTTCACGCCGCGGCAGCGGCTGCTGCGGCTGCCCTGCCGCGTCATTCTTCCGAGCGCAACATCCTGGGATTGGGCAGGCCCACTGTCCAACCCCAGTCCCAGAGCTCCGGCGGCGCAACCGCGCCAATCTCCCATGGCCCGGCGCTCCCCGCCGGCGCGGCCGGCACTTCAGGTAGTTGTAGAAGTGGAAACGGAAACGGTAATGGTACGGTTGTGCGCAGCAATGGTAGCAGCACCGGTACACTTGGCAGCGTTCACAGCTTCAGTGTGGGCGGCCTCGCCGGCGGGCACCGCAGTGGCAGCGGTAGTGGCTGGTGCAGTGTCGAAGTACCAGACGATGGTAGCGCAACTGATTCAATGACCAACAGCCTAGATGATCCCAATGAAGCTGCACAGGCAGCAGAGATGTCCCGTGCGTCGGTTGCTGTCACCGTTGCGGCGGCAGCCCTTGCGGCCGCCAGCAAGCCGCTGCGTCCTGCTGTAATGCGAACCCGGCCGATTAAAATACAGCAGGCTGGTGCTTGCGCGGTCATGGATGTGCTACGTGCAGATCCCGAACGGCCGGGTTATGGTGGTGGCCGCCGGCGCGGCCGGGGCCGTCGTAACGGTGGCGGCAGTAGCGGGAACGCTGCTGCTGCCGGACCAGTCGAGGAGCCCGACAGTACCGTGATATCCGAGCGGGGCCCCGTGGACCGTGCCAGGCACCTTGCGTGAATTTGTTAGTACTGACCATGTACGCTATGGCTATGTTTTCCTGCGCCTCAGCAGGACGGTTGTTAGGAGTCTGAGCAGGGTCTGAGCGTGAGCCGATGCATCCTCTTGTGTCCTGTGTCCGCCTGTTCTCGGATCCGCCTTGTACCGCTACAGTAGGGTCTGTGACCTGTCTTGCCTGTGCGCGGCATTTGATGGCAGGTGCATGTGGATGTGTTAAATGCTATGCATGTGCTTGTTGTGCGCGTGGTTATTTGATCTGTTGGTTGGCGTGCTGACCGGAGACAGGTTATATGAAATGCCGGTGCCGGAGTCGCCTGGTCCTGGACTCCTTGCAGCTTGCACCCAGGGCCACGCACGTTTCATGCTGCTGCTGTTCTTCTTGTCTGTGGTTTCAGCTTTGCACATCGTCGTTGTTCGTCCCCGCCTTAAATACAGTTGACGCCATGCAAGAATGAGAACAAGCAAACAGACGTGGATGTACTCTTTTTTGTCATGCTTAGTGCAGCGTTTGCCTTCATTTCTGTGTACCTCCCTAGAGTAGGGTTGTCTAGTAGCCCTGTACTATTAGAGTAAGCCGGGCGTTCGAGGCCTTTGCCTCGTGCGAGAGGGTGAATGCGAATTTGTAGCGTAGGGCGGTGCTGCTGAATTCATTGTGCATGGAGCCAGCAGCTTTGGACTTGAAATTAGTGGGACAAACCGGGGGGAATTCCACGCATTGCAAGGAAATTGGAAATAAATGTGTACCCACACAGTACTATTGGAATGAGCGTTGCCAGCGAATAGCGCTGGATTTGACGAGGCCTTCAGCTGATAGCCGATTCGAGGCTTATACCGGGCTGTCGTGGGAAGATGACACATCTTCAATGTTTTACTGATTCGGCTTTTCTCGTACGGAAAGAAGGTTGCCGGCGTGCATAGTGGTTTTCCTGTCGACAGCAATGCGACGTGAGGAAGTAGGTTGTGTGGCGTATTTTCCACCGGCTCCCGAGCGAAAGGTCATGTGGTCGTACGGTGACATGTCGAACCAGGCTGATGGTCGTTACAGCCAACATGCGATGTCTTGTTTCAATGTCACTTCCTGGCATCCATCCGTATGTTAATGGGGGCTTTCCCTCTACATTGAGTTCTTACATTTGTATGTGTCTTCCCATTAGTCGGTCGGAGTTTGCCACTCGAGTGAATGTGGGGTAAGCATGGGTGAGGATAGAGGAGCCATAGAAGCAGACTCTGGCGGAATGAGGTCAGCAGAATGTCAATCAGTGGGAATGCCATTTTTGCCCATGATTTATAGTTTGGCAGGAATATTTGCAACATCAACTTGTCTGGCCCCAGCATGGGGCAAATCTGCGTTCGCGGCATGGGGTGGGCAATACACATCCTAACTCAGCCCGGCGCGGCTGAGGGTCCCACAGGCTCCACGCACTCACATTAGCGCTGCATGCGATCCTCACCATCTAATATATAACCTTTGCAGTATGTATATGCAGTATGTATGTGGTTGTTCATAAGTCTAAGCCGCAGACTATTGCAACGTACACAATATTGCTGCACGTGCAGCGTTTATCATTACCCCTGATCATTACCGGGGACATCTTTGGCCCGGTCCAAAACTCTCGACAGCCAATCGTACCCAATAGCTCTTTCAGAGCTTTTTACGTTATCAATAGTGGTATTCAATTAACTCGGCATTGCTCTGTCCACACATTAGCCAATTTCATTATCTTCCCGGTCACCACAGCAAAAGGCTTAAAAAGCGACGTCAGCACGTCAATGGAAGCAATGTAAGAGGCATTTCGTGCAGGTGCAACGTGACAGGTGCACGCCCAAGGCTACAGCGCGGCGCGTATCTTGCACCGAGGCCAGCACTTCTGCTCAGCGGAAAAGCCTCGGTCATGTCGGGGCAGGTCGGGATGTCCCACCCTAAGCCCCCATTTATATCATAGCAGCCCAGCACACGCGCCACTTAAGCTACCGCAGCAACTGGTCTGCCATGTTGGCAAGATGTGAAGACTTCCCAAAGTTTCCGTTTTGCTCACGCTTTCAGGGTCGGGACAGCCGCCCGACCGCCGAGCGCTTATGGCATGTGGAACAGTAGCTGTTTCCCATGCCACTCTATCGGTGTGCGGCATTGGCGCCGCTGGGGCGTTCCGCACTCATATGCACTGGTGGCCACTGCGGGGCCCTGGTCCGGTTCTGGCGGCTCCCATCACACGTTGAAAGCGATGAATCCCGCATCGCCGCAAGCAGGCCCCTACTCGGATATCACAAGCGCCGCGTTGGTTGAACGGAGGATCCAGACCCGGGTCCCTGCGGGATTATGGCACAGTAAGGCGCAAGGATGGCAACAGGACCGGCATAGAGACAGGGTACTAAAATGCGGCCACGCGCGCATTAGCAGTAACAAGCGTTTCGGGGCTGGGGATCCGTTCTGGGGACGAAGCCACCTAAAACTGAAGGTTTCCTGAGAGTAACGATAGAAAACCGAGGTTTTCTGTGAACTCAGAAGAGTAAGTTGTGAGTGTTGCTACTGCAGTAATGCCAGTTAAAGAAGGTAGCCCTGGTGTGCTAGAATAATTTTCGGGTTTCGTAGCCACATTAGGTCGCTGCTGTGAGGCGTTAGATATCCAGGCCTAGTGGATTGCCTCGCGGTAGCTGGAGCTGGCCTCCACCCGGCCTCTACCTACCGAAGGAAGATTTAGTTTAGTTGCTTGCAGGTACCCTTTGTAACGTTTGATGATTCCTCGTGAAAACTAGGCTTAACACCACGTATAATAAACGCTATCTGGAAGACGCGGTCATGCAGCGATCAACTAGACCGACGGAGGTCTAGGAATTCGGGAAAAGCCAAATGCCTTGCAGCTCGAGTTCGGACACGCGTGGGGCCCACCAGGCGAATACAACTGCGGTACGGCAGCTGAAAACCCGCACCTGCATCAGGCTCTCATCTGGGTGTATGGTATACGGAGCCAGTCGCAGGGTTCCGCCGCCACCGCCATATCCCCCACCATCGCCCTCCATTGAAACAGCCTCCACGGGGCAATGCCCGCCAGCTACCGGCCTAGCTCTCGGGGATACCCGTACGGAGGCCGGGGTTGATGATCGCAGACTTGGCATCGCCGCCGAAGTGGCTCCTATTAGCGATGCGGCATGCTGGCTGCCTTCAAGGAGAGTGTCACCGCCGGGGCCTCCGCTTGCAAGAGCAGCTGCTGCTGCAGTCATGTACTGCGCCCACAGGCTAGGCCCAGGGTTGCCTGGCGCAGGTAGGGACATGGTGGCCGTGCTTGGGGTGCCTCGGGCTGAGCCCCTGGCCGAGGTCGGAGGACTGGCGGCTGCTTGGCGGCTCCGCTGGCTCAGGAGGAGGTTGTCCAACTGCTTCAGCTGGTTCCTAAAGGTTTCATCAGCATGTGTCAAGGGTCCATCATGTTGGCAGGACGTGGCGGTGGCGCATGCATGAAGAAGAGCGAGGGAAAAATAGGGTTGCGTTGCTGAGGCTCTGGAAGCTTAGTGAAACCCGCAGTACCACGGGTTCCTTCACTAAAATAATAATAGTAGTGCCAGCGGAGGTATGGGCTCTTGTCAGCTGCATGCCAGCAGTGCAGCCGGGGTGTCGACTGTCGATTCCTATAATACTTCTGGCCAGCTACTCACCGCAGGTCTGTCAGGTCTTTGTCTAGCGTCGATACGCTGTTGACGGGGCCAGCAAGTGGCTGCACGTGTGGCCCGCTGCCGACCGGCGACGCCTCTGCCACCTCCACTTTCGCCTCCGCCTGGGGATCAGCTTCCCCTGCCACCTCCACCGTCGTTGTGGCTGTCCCTGGCAACCCCTTCCAGTGATTGTCGGCGCTGGCACCGCCCAGTGTGATCACCACTGCTGCTGTCGCCGAGTCTTGCCCTTCCACCGTATGTGACGATCCGCCGGCGCTTATGCCGCCAGCGGTCGGGGCGGCAGCCCCATCGTTCACGCTGCTGCGTGAGGCCCGTGACGACGTTTGATGCGACTGGTCGCCGGGCCACTCCTTTTGGGGCTGGAATCGCGGCCCGGCGTTGGGGTCGGCAATATCTTGCCTCTCATCGTTGATGCCTTCACTCCTGCCTTCGTCATCGGCCCCATCGTCGTACACGACGCTTGCGCTGTCTGTGACGTTGTACCGATGCCGGGCGCTCAAGACGCTTGCTAGGCGCCCACCATCATGGCCAGAATCAGCAGCCTGATGGCTGTCCTCCGGCTCCATGAGCGTGGAGTCACGAAGCTGCCCGTCCGCCATCGCCACCGCCGTCTCGGCCTCCAGCAGCGAGCCCATCGACAAACGGCTTTGTGATTGCCGATTGTGGCGTTGTCCAGGCAGCGAGAAGGAGGCCTCAGAATGGGCCGGAGACGTGGTTTGACCGCTGGAGCGGCGCGATAGCGGCCGCGAAGAGGTAACACCCCTTCCTTCTACCACCGTTCCCGAGCCTGCACCGCTACCGTTTCTGCTGCGAGGACCGCTATCCATTGCCGCCGCTGCAAACGCGCCGACGAGGCTTCGGACAGGTGGTGCATCCACGCTGGCCGATTTGTTGGTCCCCAGGGATGTAAAGTTGCCACGGATCGTGGCGTCGAGCCCAATGGCGGAGCTGCTGCCACGAAGGCTGCCGCCGCTGCCATGCCGGCTGCCATCCCCGCCATTGGGCCGAAGCTTCGGCAATGCAGACGGCTGCAACTGCACAAGGAGAAAGGAGGGTAAGGCAATGTGGAGCATGAAAACAGCAAAAGCGAGTCGGCTTAAGGAGCACCCGATAGCGTTTCCGGGCGCCTTGGGCACTCCTTGACTGTCTCCGCCGGCAGTCCCCAACAAGGGTATGGCCCCTCAGCAGCAGGTGCCTTGCAGCCGCATCCATAAATTCGGCACGGACATTTTAACGTCGAAGCCGCGAAAACGAAGCAACTACGCGAAAGCAAGCCGTGAAACGGAGCAAATCTCTGGTATCTTATCCCAACGCCATGCACTGCCCAAAGCCCA